TATCTCATGAAGATGCATGAGTATAAGTGAGTACAAGACTACTTCAGAATCAGTCAAACACTCCTCACGGGGACTTTGAAGCATTAGCGGCTGTCCGCTTAGAGTGACCCACATTTAGCCTGAGCAATAAAAGGCACATCTTCTCTCTGGTCCCCATCTTGTTGCCACATTTATACACAGAGCTATTGAAGTTGGGGGACTGCCAAACTCGGGGAAAAGGACGATCCCAGAAGCAGGTGATTGAAGGGTCAGACAGGTAAGATCAGAGTCAGCATCGTTTCCTGCCAACTGTCGACACTGCTTATTTTTAGCTTTAAGCATGTTCCCTACTTATCTAATCAAAGGTCTGATTAAAACCACGATCAAACCCCAGAAATGAGACATGATAGACGAACCGCTCCAGGAGTGGCAGGGCTGGTCCAGACTAAAATATCCAAACATGACTTAGATGGTATGCCATGAAATTTTGGGCAAACAGTCCCTCTAAGATGTATCCTCACGATATGCTTGTGCCAAACTTTGATGTATTTTGAAACACCTGTGAATCCAATGACATTTCAACGGCTCATGCTAATTAGCGAATGTAAGGACGCTTGTTTGCAATTATTGGCCTTGCAAGATGCCGCGGCTTTAAGCTCATTTCCTTGAGATAAACCGCGGTCAGACAAAGCAGTTTCATTAGTGGGTGAAGATGGTTTTTCAAGGCAGTGTCAAGTGAAGTCCCTCTGGAAGAAGGGCGCTCTGAAGGGCGTTTATGAACGCTGTGTTTTCTCATTAAACTTCGAGGACTTGTTGGCACTGTGGCGCACAACTTGCACGGGTTGAACCGAGCTGATGAAGTGCCCTGATGAGTCACACGGCGCGCACAATCCGGCCCTGTCTCTCATGTCGAGGAGCTAATACCCTGTTAGAGAGGAGACTGGAGGACGAGCGAAATCATATAAAGGGCCCAAAAATGAGGGGGCCTGACATCATCAAATCCGAAAGGTTACTGGCCAACGCTCGGCGCTCCTGCTCAAGAAAAACACTATTGATATTCCGTGGGTTCGTCCGGGGACAATGGCAGGGCCTGTCCCTCCCTCTCTCCCTCATAGCCTGGCATGGCAGAGATGTCACAGAGAGCACCAAACAAATGGATGGAGGGATAGAAAGGGATGGAAGGATGGGGAGGAGGTGGAGGAGAACAAACGCATTGTTCTCGGGGTGGAGAAAGGGGTATTGTGAGCAAGACAGATAGCTTATGTGGGAGGAAGGGGTGGGGGAAGACAAGAGGGCCACAAAGGACAGAGAAAGGTGAAACCTGGCATTTTTCATAGATGCGGCTTTTTTCTCTATGCAGTCGGGGGTAATTCATAACGCCGCTTTAGGGGACACTTGGTAAAACTTTAAAGAGGCGCGCAGCAGCATGCCGAGGAGCCATCTTCCTTTCAACTGTCACAACAGCACGGATCACCTCTGAGGGTTTCTTTTAAATCATGCTCCACACCTCTGAGCTCCCAGCTGCTCCGTAACATGTCGCAAAAGCCGGATCAGCAGAGACCGTGAGCAGGTAGGTTTTACATCTGCACCTTTCCCTGCGGGAGCAAGTCTGAACGGGTGACTTGATGTGAACTAACAGCCCAGCTGTTTGAACACGGGCTGAGACCTCAGTGGAGATGGAGGCCGCTGTGCTGCGATGCCCCGCAGGCGTGCGATGTGCGCCAGCTGCCCTCGTCGGTAAACATCAGTGACATGCACACATTTACAAACACGGCGCTTAAACAGTTGCACACGCTTCTACACAGGGATGATGAAAATAACGCCATTCACACATGCACAAAGGAGGACACAAATACAGCGTCGCCCCGGCGTGCAGACACCTGCTCAGACACTTTCATGCTTCTCCTCCAGCCTTGCAATCTCACAGATACAAATTAAGCGTAGACAAAGCCCGCTGCAGTCAACCTTCAGAGTGATTCACAACAAAGGCTGGGATCATACAGCACACACACAATATGGAATTGAATTCATTACATATTTGCATTTTCAATATTTCATGCTCTGCTGCTTGTTTGATTTCCATTAGGGCCTTTTCCATCCCTCACACTCACTATTTCAAGCCAACTTCTGAAGCAACACTACAGCTGACAACTGTGATTTGAAATTCAGATTTTCACTAACACCAGAAAAGTCTCTTGTTTCGCTTAAAAAAATGATGAGATGTAGCGGTGATATTCAAGAGGAGTGTCAGATGTACACAAAAGGAGTGTGCAGGAGAGGAGACATGAAATTCAAACCAAAATATTAACATCTTCACATGACAGGATGGAAGTGAATGAAAAGTGAAGTGAGGAGGGGGAAAAAAAAATAAGTGGACTGTGCGCATAAACAACAGAGGCAGATGGAAAGGGCATTTTCAGGGCAATTTCCATGATTATTCTACACAATGGCACCCTTCTCAAACTCCCCCTTCTGCAGACACAGGCCTCAGCCCACACGCACAAATTATAGGCAAATCACCAGCCAGGGCAGTGTGCATACTTGCATCCGGAGACGGCATAACAAATGGTAGTCTGGAAAGCTCTCCGGTATAGAATAAAAGAAAACACCCTGCATGTGCAAACAGTGACAATAGTATGCCACATGCAGCGTGAGTCACCACGGAAGCAGCCACATTTTACATACAAATATGCAGCACAAGGGCCAGCCGGCTCTGCACAAATGATACATGGATCCTTGCAGTGCCAAGAATCCCAGCCTACCAATGCCTATGAATTATTTCCTGCATCTCATTGTTTTCAGCAACACTTGGTGCTGCAGTGCCAGAGAAGTGCATCTCTAATTAGCTCGTGGTTCACTTCAACACAGAGTCCATGGGAATGTTTGAAACTGCAAGGCGACGTTCAGGCACACTGCTGCTTTGGACCTGAACCAAACACAGCAGGCTTAGAGTAACAATGCTAACATGCTAATTCAATTAGCTGGATTATTGTTTGTCTTTTTTATCCGGTTCAACTCTTATCATTGTATTAACTATTTGTCACTGTTACAATGGAGAAGGTAGGCCTCAGGGGGCGCTATACAAGCCCTGACGTCAAGAGACAGCTGTTATGACAATGTTTTTTTATGTCCATGAATGGCACAAAGATGCAACCTTCAGTCTTAAGAAATATTTGTAAATGTTTAGAAACTGCAGTTCCTGGAGTGTCCACTTGGGGCTGGCTCCAAAGGTGCAGAATCCACATATACACCCATTCAAATCAGCTGATCTTCACAGCAGAAATAAACATGTTTACAGGTGGGTACAAACACTGTTTTTTCTTCATCTGTGCAAACTGTCCATGGGGTAAATATGGTTTCATATATTTTACATATATTAAACAATGAGGTAGGCACACTGTAGCTGAGAGTGAGGTGACTAAAGGCCTGCATTGACATCTCTTCTTTGCCTCTTGCTGGGTTGACTCAGCATTTCCAGTATTGACCTTTGAACGCTACTTCAGATCACAAAGGGGGGCCTAACCTTTAGGTGGGTTATGATTACGTGATAATAGCAGAATGTTTCTGGGTAATAACGCCTACGAAAACACTGGAGCTGGAGGAACTTCCCTGCTTCAGAAATGGGGCCTTTAAACAAGGTGACCATATTTGGAATCCCTGAAAAGAGGACACGACTACGCACAGGGCAGAGCCACAGAGTCGCACAAACTTTATTTTGAGAGTTTTTTGGGTCTGATCGAGTGTCTTTTACGCCCTTCTAACCCAGTAAGTCCACGTGACACAAAGTTGAAACTTCAGTATAAAACCGCGGGCATTTGAAGGATTTATAAACTTCCCCAGACAAAGCCTTACAAGTCCAGACAGCCCCCCAAAATTGAGGGCATGTCCGGGTAAAAGAGGACGTATGGTCACCCTACTTTAAAGCTACAAAGCTAGTATTTGCTGATTACTAGCAAGTTCTCACACGCTGCAAATGCCTTTAGCTTTTAGTTTTATAAATATCTGAGTTTTGACCAGATAATGGAGCTGGATGAACATTCAACACAAAAGGGAGAAAATTAGCATCCTCTGGACAAGTCAGAGCCGGATATGTCTCTGCAGACGGTCCAACAGTTAATCATCCAACGTAGTCTGGACACAAAACGGTGGCTCCACCAGCCACCGCTCACTCATGATGGGGCGTCTCATATTATCATATTCATATCCTGAAAGTTTATGCAGTTTTCGGTCCAGCAGTTTTTAATGAAGCTGCGTTGTCCTTGTGTGATGTGTACGTCTATGTGAAAGGAAAAATCTCATGAATTCAGGGCCTGTGTGTCAATGTCAAGTAAATATTTCCTGCACACTCACTCGACTCTGCATTTAATGCGACTCACAGTTGCTTACTGCTCGCACAAAAGACGGCACAAACACGCTGCAAACACTAAGTGGCTCCGTCTCCGCCACAAGCACACTAACATCCTCTCACACTGTCACTGTGCAGTAAACTCTCAAAATCCTCTTTGCTTCTCCGTGTAATAACTGCCCGTCCTTGGCTCTCAATCTGACCCCCTCCTCCTCCTCCTCCTCCCTCCACACATCTCCAACAGGCTCTGATTGATTCATGCTGGACAGTTAGTGGATTTCCACCATCTAATGCAAGCTGTGAGTGCTTCTCTTTTGTCCTGCTGTTTGAGCAACTGTCAGCTCCCGCATCTTCTTCTGCTTCTAATAACGTTTCAGACACCCGGCAATCTCCTTGGCTTGTCCTCTTATTAGTGCACACGCTCGATGCACTTTCCCGCCGCTCTCCGAGAGCTCGGGCAGAAACCAGGCCAACCGGCAGTATTGGTATGCCGCCCATAGGTTTTGTGTTTTGCTCTGTGAATTTTTGATAGGGATCTATTACCAGCGGGTAAGCTGTAACTGCTGGGTCAATTTGGGCTTTTGGAATCCAGGCGCACTGTATGCGGCGAGATACTTACCGAATCTTGGCTCTGAAATTGAAAAACTGAGCTCCAATAAATCAATAACACAAATGATAGAGAAGCTTAAAACTGGCAAACGCCTTTATTTCCATTCAACATTACAAAAACAGAAGCTATTTACAATTATTTTGAAATTGCAATCATTCATTTTCCCCCGTCTGATCAGTAGTAGTCCTCCAGGTCGGCTTTCTCCCCCTGATTCTGGATCTGCTGCTGCTTCTTGTACAGATCAGCAATCTGCGGAGGAGGAGGAGAGAAAAGAGGAAGTGAGGAGAGGGTTTGCATGACGGAGCATGCATGAAAAAAGAGAGAGAGAGAGAGAGAAAGCAGGAGGAGGGAGGGAGATCATGGAGTCAGGTCAGTTACATGAGGAGGAAAGCTAAAAATAACAGTTTGATTATTCATATCCAGCCTTTGAAGTTGGTGACTCCCAGCTGCTGACTTGGAAACAGAGGTTGTGCTCACTTGAGCTCATCAGGGGAGGGGGTGAAAGGCGGGACGATGAATAATATGTGAGCAGCGGGCCCACCCTGGTCGTGGTGCAGCACAGCGAGGAGGAGAAAACAACAAAACATGATATTATTTCTCCTCTGCAGCACCGAGAGGAAGTCAGCTGGAGACAGACCACGTCCTACCTTCCTCGGCCTCCGTGTTTACTTACTTCCCTGATTTAAAGGAGGTCGGGTTTCATTTAGATGGACCGCGGATCCGTGTGTGCTACTACGAGCGATTGTGAATCAGCACAGATAGTAACTGTCGGGCGAATCATTGAAATGCAGCTGATGCTCAAACTCCCACCTGAGCACAAGTGGACTCCACCGTTAACAGATGGCTGTTAATTCCAGCCGCTGAAAATACACGTAATCAGACTTTATTTTAAACTCACACCCGGTATCAAAATAACAAAAACGAAATCAGGTTTTATTTACCTGGATGCTCCCGGCATATCAAACCTCCTCTGTGAGCCGTTACACAACAAAAACCCGGCCTGTCAGTCAGCGTTTGCACATCCAGCAAATCTCTTAATGCAGGAGAGCGTGCCTTTAAATTTCAAGTATAGAAACAAACCGGAGAAATGCAGCCTGCTGTTGAACAAATCGGGACGGAGAGCGCTTTAAAAATTCAAGCCTGACATTAACAGGTTTTGGTCTGGCTGTGTTTCTGTCGGGGTGTTTTTTTTTCTTACTCAAAGATGAGCACAGAGGAAAATATAACTCCAGTGTACCGCATCTCTTTGCCTTTAAGTACCATAAAGAAATATTAAATCAAACATTTAGGGTGAGTGCAATCACAGTTTATGTGAGGCAGAGTTATCAAACTCTACAGCGTGTTTATTCACCTTAAAAACATCATATTTGAGCCGTAATGGTATCATGATTCAGTTTTATGTCAAATGAAAGCTGCTAAAGCGACATCTTAATATTTGCATGTTTCAGCCCCACTAATTAAAGAATTAATGCCTTTTTACCTCTAGTGGTGCGAGCCCTGATTCGCATAGATCCGCACTGGAGCACAAATATGATCCGCTGGCTGATGACGAGTAAATGCTCTGGTGTAAAGTCAGATTAATGCTGATAAATGAGGGCTGCAGCGAGAGAACACGACAGGGAGATTTGTTTATACGGTTATAACGGGCAGAGGTGACTCGCACAAGCGTGTTTGGAAGTTAAAGAGCATGTGCGGAAAGTATAGTCCAGAAAACTGATCCCACATTATGCAGGTATGAGAAGTCAGATCAAGTCCAATTTCAGTCTGACTAACGTGTTTGCATGATTTTAAAAAGTCCAGTTTTAGTCAGACTAATCCAACAAATCAATTTACTGAACAGGATGTAAACAGAGACATGTACACCTGTAGGTTAGCTTCCACTCAAAGTCAGTTCAACAGGTTGTTCATATTGTTATGATAGTGAATATCTGTCATATGTAGGGTACGATCCAATAAGATACACGATATTCAGATCACGATACGATATATCATGATATTTAGCTCATGATATAACATATATCACGATATTCAGCTCATGATACGATATATATCACGATATTCAGCTCATGATATAATATATATCACGATATTCAGCTCATGGTATAATATATATCACGATATTTAGCTCATGATGCGATTTAATTCACAATATCCAGCTCATGATATGGTATATATCATGATATTTAGCTCATGGTATGATATATATCATGATATTCAGCCCATGGTACAATACATATCACGATATTCAGCTTAAGATTTAATGTATCGATACTCGCAGCTGAAAAATCAATACTTTCTAGGGAAAAAAAATATGGACTTATGTCCCAGAATCGATAAAATTGCTCAGCCCGGGTCATTTGTCGTGTCTCAGCTGCAAAGGAAAGCCTCTCACCATAAGTTTGGTCTGCAGCTTCAGTAAAGAAACAGAAACTAAAGCGTGTAAATGTTCGCCGAAACTGAAGGCAGGTGGTGCTAGCTCTGCTACTGTCAGCGAAACTCTGCAAACTAATTTGTCATTATTTATTTACTGACTTTTTCTTAAAGGGATATTTTTGCTTTTATCAGATAGGACAGAGAACATGTAGCACAGGTCTTTTTTTCACCTCTGTGACAAAGGACATCAGTGCCAAAACTGAGTTGAGTTTTTTTTAGTTTTTTTATATTTTGTCAAACTCAAGACAAATCAGCTCATTGGAAATTGAATTTAAGTTTGAAGATCTGTGAAATGAGTTTCTTCAGAGCCTCCACAGCAAAGACAATCCAGTCTTTTTTCATTTAAATTGAATTATTTTTACTTTTTATGACTATAATAACAACCTTCCCATAATTTTGACTAAATATCTCATAACTTTTGATCTTTTCACTGTGACGGTCTGTCCATATTACTTATACGATCTTTTTCCTCCTCTTAGATCTGAGCATGCTCTCTCATGAACAGCTGTGCGTATGAGCGTCTTCACTTCCAGATACACCTGACCCGCTCGATTCTACTGTACAGTATAATTACCTCTCTGCTCCCTCACAGTATATCACCCAGAGTCCAGTGCTGACCCGGAGACGTGCCGCTTTTACCCGACTGTTATACAGCTCTGTTCCTCGTGCCGGGGGAGGCCACAACATAAACCAGCGGCGGTATAAAAACAGATCGTCCTTGCAGCGCCGTTCACCCTTGAAATTTTACAGGACAGCTCTTAAGGAGTGATGCTCCTCCTTTACACAGCATTTCCACTTACAGGGTGGGAGTAAAAAGCATATGATTGGGTTTTTACTGGATCAGAGTCATCATAATACTGAGCAGGTGAGCAGGGCTGACCCCCTTGACCTGCTGGATCCCTCAAAGTGTCTCTGTTGGATTTACCTGAGCTCCAGTCGTGGCGTCCTCGGGTTTTTTGTCGTCTCTGATGCGGAGGAAGCGGGGGAACCTCAGAGAAACCCCTTTTACTGGATCAGCCTAAGACGGGGAGATACAGTCACAGTCAGTATATATGATCTCTTATACATGTCGGTGTTTGTCCTTGCTACTTTACAGCCGTGAATCTCTCTTTTTTCTTTCAGAGAGTCGAGGTTTGAAAGCTAATAAAGCTGTTCGGTTCAAGGCTTCGAACATCAAACACTGAAAGACTGAAAATGTTTTTAGACCTTTTCAATTTGACGACAGAAATTGCTGCTTTGTCCTTTTTCCATTTATCTGCCTTTCAAATCTTTCACCTCTTTCAAACACAGATGTGCTGCACTTTTCGACTTTTTTTTCTTAACGATATAACAGGCTGTTTGGGGCTGAAAATTTCTGTCCAGGATTGTATGGATTTAGACGTTAAGCTCGCCTGGAGGAATTGAGAAATATAAATCACATTTTTGCAGAAATCTGAAAGTGTCAGAAGCAATAGCTCACCGCCGAGCTATAATCAAACCAAATCAGCGAGAGTTATGAGTTTTCAGAGGAAACTGGCAGTAACTGTGGGCTCATAATAAATAAGAGACACAGACCAAAGTTAGTCAAGCAGCTACAAACACTTTGAATTCAGAAAGAGTCGCACTTAGTGAGTTCAATCCATATCAATAAACGCTCTGACTCCATTTGAGGTCAGCGTTTAAATGTCAGTGGAGCAGAATCTGGTTTGGAGATCTTTCATCGGGGTGTATCAAAAAGAACAAAGAGTGAAACTGCGGTGCAGAGTTCAGCAAACGCCCGAATGTGCAGCTTCTGTGCAGCACAGCTCTTCCTCCAATCACCATCTGATCTCACGGCGTGGAGTTTGTGGCGTGCACAACAGTCGAGCTCGGTCGCTGACTTTGAGAGCTGTGACCCACTGACCGAGATCAGCTCGCCTGGAGTTGCACCACCCGCCTCGGATGGTTTCGGAGGAGTTTAGATCAAACCGGCGTAAAAGGGTACCGCTGTTTTCTCATCATCATAATGTTGGAGAAATGCCGCACAAAAGTGAAGCCAAAAACCTACTCTTAGATCTCATGTGGTGTTAATGATGGTGAAAGAAATGACAAGAAATTATGTACAGAGGAGGATTAAAAACCATCTATCGATCTATCTATCTTTCTTTATATAAATTTACATCCATCTGTCTCTGTCTGTCCATCTCTATCTATCTCCATCTTTATCTATCTATCTATCTATCTCTCTTTACATCTAACTATCTATCTATCTATCCTCTATCCACCTATCTGTCTATCTCTCTCTCTTTAAATCTATCTATCAATCTTTACATCTATATATCTATCTTTTCTGAGAAAAAAAGTCAGAATTCCAACATTAAAATCAGAATTCTGACTTTTTTCTCAGAATAATAACATTAAATATTTATATATTATTTATTATTTGTCCTTTATTATTTATATTTATTCCACTGGCCCTTGCCCTCTTCCGTAGTTATGACTGTGCATTAAAAGTACGTCTCAAACACTAAATTCGACAGTTTTAGGTGATTACAGTACTGAGATTACTGACAGTCGACTCCCAGACCCGTAGATTAGGGTATTTTATTTTGAAAATCAAGTCTTCGGTTAGTCTAGAGTTAAAAAAGTGTTGGTTGAACATGTTTCTGAGACGCTTTTTAAACCGCTGCAGGAGATAATAAATATTGCAGGGAGAGAAGCCTGTTTCTGTGTATTTTATAAAGTTTAGAAGAAGAGTTTGCATGCATGCTTTAGAAAACTCTGTATCGACATGATTCAATCTCCAAAACTCCTCTACTGCCTCTGCTACTTTTCCTAACTCTCTTTGTCTTATTTGCTTACACCTTTTCCTCCAGCTCTCTAAAAAACAAGCGTCTTAAAGCAGCTGTAAAACCTACAGACGATAAAACGCAGTTCTTTAACCTTCACATTTATATTAGCGATACATAAAACAGCAGCCGAGCAGGAATCTTTTCTTCTTTTCTCTTCGAAACGCCTCCAGATGAATAAAAGCCGCTCATCTCGGCGCCGTTTTTTTAACTGCTATTGTTATAATGAGACTTGAAGACTCTTAGTGTTATATGCACTGAGGGATTGAGTCCGGCTTTACAAACGCGTATCTGTTCCATTAAATCCAGCATCTTTTACTACAGTTTTAATAACTCAATTAAGAAGCTCTAATTGTGACTTTTACTGCAGCCAACAGACCATAACAGAGGAAACACACTGAAGGGGAAAGAACTGAACGCTGACACTGACCAGGCCCATGGCGGCTTTGTAGACCGGTGACAGCGACAGGTCGGCGCACTTCACCTCCCAAACCTGCACGGCGTCCAGCCACACGTCGGGCTCTGCTGATTGGTCGACGCGGTAGTAGGCGCGGGGTTTGGGAAGAATGTGCTCCTGAAGGAAAAAGACAGAGAACTTTAATATCAACTACACTGAACGATTGAACGATACAGATCAATAAGGAGATATTTTTAATTGAAAAGTGAAAAACTGATATTTATTTATATTTAATTTTGATCTTTTTGTGAAATGTATTTTTGGGATCATTCAGCTGTAAATAACAGTCATATTTATATATATATATATCTTGTTTTTCATCCTTTAATTTTTCTTTTGTATTTAACGCTGCTGTAAATTTAATATTTCCCCCTGTGGGGAAAACATTTAAAAAAAAACACCTGAAGAACCATCTCACAACTCATCGGGTTGATTTAAACTTAATTGGTTCATTAAAAATCACTCCATGAGAGATCGAGTCTCTTAAAGGGACAAACAGGAAGTGGTTCTTCGCTCTGTGAGAGACTGCGAGAACGAACAGTTCAGCACTTTCAGTCTAAAGGTCCTTTCACACCGGGAGCGTTTTTATCGTGCGATTATTTCGGACGTCAATATTTTTTTCAAACCCGTATCCTGTCAATACAAGCGTTCACATTAGCAACGTTTTCCTTTCCTGCGATATTTACATTTATTTTTTCAGATCACAGCCGAATTTTCCTAAAGTTTCGCATACTGTGTGTACACTTCTGACCAATCAGATTTTGTGTTGTTTCGACATCAGATTCACCGGTATATCCAACATGGCCGACTGGCTGATTGTTTACGTGTCGGAGAACAGAGTGATTTTTGATAAAAGACACAAATATTACAAAGATAACGACCTGAAGGACAACTTGTGGAGAGTCATAGCGTCAGATTTCTCATATGACGATGGTTTGTGTGCTTTAACAGTTTGATAAACGTCTTTGTTTTAACTTTCATCTGTGCTAAGTAACTTTAGCTCGTCAGCTAACCTGTTCAGATACAACGGTTGTTACCTTACGTTTTATGGATTATAGTTTAATGTTCTTATCTGGTACTGGCCCCGACTCAGTACATGCTATCATGACAGACAGACATCTCAACATTAGAGTCTAATCAGAACTGAAAACAGTCAGTCTGCTGTTGGGTCAGTCTTCTCGTTTCTACCTGGGACGCGTCTTTTTTGCCCTCGCAAAATCACATCGGGCTTGATGTGTATAGTCAGGCGCGTCAAAATTCACCTCTGAATATTACGTAATTTAATTTCGCGTCATATATTTGGGTTGTTCCCGGGGTGTTTAAGGACCTTTAGACTTTCAAAAAGAGCTTTTAAAAGTTCCTCCAGTTGAAAGAACTGAACAATTTTCTTTTCTTTTGTTTTTATTTCATTTTAAATGTTTTTTACCTCCTTTTATTTATTTTCTCTTCTGTGGTATTTATTCTTTTGATTTTACTCTGCAGCACTTTGGTAAACTTGAATGTTTTTAAAATATATACAAAGCTTGGATTGGATTTTATGATTACATAAGAAGACAAAGGAGTAAATATAAACACAAAAACACACACTGTGGATGAACACAGACAAGCAGAAGGTAAAAACAGGTCAATGCTGATAAAGAGACAGTGACAGAGCGGCTTCGGCTGCCCCGCTGCTGCTTCCCAGGAGGCCTCACAGACTCTGAACACCCTCGTATTCAAATGTTACCTACTCGCCTGAGGGTTCGACATGAAGGGGCGACTCCCAAAGTGCATTATCACACACACCTACATGAGAGATTTCAATCAGAAATAGCTTCATACACACACTTTGTTTGCCGATACTCTCCTCTCCTCCCACAAACTGGTAAAACATTTAAAATCGCCGTTTTAACTTTCAGCGTAGGTGTGATGCTTTTTATAAAATTACAGCCATCTTGTTTCAGGTGTAAAACGATCTATTTCCAGTGAATGGGGCTCTGAAGTGCCGCAGTGTCCACAGAACTGGGTCAGAGTGAAGTAACGCTGGGAGAAGGAGGCTCCGGCGGTAGTGGTGCTGGTTGTCTCACACATTATTTATACTGTAGGCATTCGAGTGATTCTCTGCACAGAGGGAATTACAATGAGAGCGAGCCGGTCGGCGTGGAGAGCCTCATGAAACAACAGCAGACGATAGACGGCAGATTGTGACGGGTCAGCGAGACGCGGATCATCCGTGTTATCATCCGTGAGGTGGTGCGAGATAACAGCTCCTCCCAGACTGTAATAATGGCGTGGGAGTCATCTCACTTTTATGCAAATATTTGTGTCATTTACTCCAATTACTGCATCCTTCTTGAGGGCATGTGAAAAGAGGCTTATTTAAAAAGGATAATTATAATCAAGTGCAGGTGTCGGCGCCGGAGGAAGCGGTTTTTTGCAGACTGTGCAGCACTAATGGTGAGTTACATAAGTTTAACTTTGGGAAAAGGGAAAAGAGCAGCGGCTACAGTAAATATACGAACAATTTACAGGATAGGAGTTAAACTCATTTATCATCCTCTGAATACAAAACTTCATTAGATGGTATAAATCCCACTCCTGACAGACTTTATAATTCAGAGGGAAACTCTCAGCTGAGACGAACTCAGAGCAGCAGAGTGCCAAAGGTGTCTTTATTGTTGTTGAGGTGATGAAAATGCTGCAAACTTGAAAACGTGAAGTCATCAGCCAAACTGTTAGGGGTGAGAAACCGACCCGAGAGACGGACTCTGCTCCTGTTTAAATCTTCATCTAATGTACAAAGTAAAGACATACTACTGTTTTAACTTATCTTCAATCCTGGCTCTCTGTCTGTGACGCTGAAATATCTATCTGTAAATGAAGGGCTGGGCGATGAACCGAAAATTTACTGATACTGAAATTTACAACAAACTGACGTCATTCTGCCCATTTCGGTTTATTCGGCATCAAAAAGAATAAATTTACCGGATGACATGCGCCATTTCCGTGACTGACATCCTGTCTAGAATGATCGTCTCTGTTTAGATTGACACGTGTTGAAGCGTAGAGCAGAGAAAATAGACTTGGCACTTATCTTTTGCAGGGCAGCACTCGATACGCTTCTGAGATGGATCTAGGGCTGGGCGATAAACCGAAGATTTACCGATACCGAAATTTACAACAATAACTAACGTCATTTTGCCCATATCGGTATATTCAGTGTCCAAAAAATAAGTAAATCAAAGTTGGTTTTGGATGTGTGTAGGTAGGCTATGGTCTATATATATATAATAATATATTGTGATATTGATTTGAGGCCATATCGCCCAGCCCTATGTGAAGGTTCTTGTTGTTTGACACTGATCGCTGTTATTTCCTAAGATGTTTCCACGTTGTTAAAAAGGCCCTAAACCTTTAAAAAGAAGTTTTTAAAATCTAGAGCTGCAGGATTTATTCCAGTCTGCCGATGTATCAGCTAAAGTTTTATTCTAGTTACGGGTCTTTACCTTTTAAAACAGCTGACTTTCATTTCCTTAGAAATAAGACTTTGTATTCAGACGGATAAGTGCATAGCAACTAGAAAAACATCAAGTACAAGAGGAGAAAAACCAACAAAAGTCAGTGATCATAGAAAGACAAGTGCTGAAGTGTTGATACGAGAACTTTACCTGAAAGACAATAAAATTACCATAAATTCCAGAATAGAAGAGAAACTTGTTATAATTTTTTGTGGCTGGCTACGTCAGATACACACACGGGTATAAAACGCAGATGTTTTTCTTGGCTTAAGCATATGTTACCCAACTGCTTTTGCTGACAGAGTATGTTTGAGATTTAGTCATCTAAAAACGAAATATGTACTGAGATCAACTCATGGGCTAGCTTGGAGAGTGACAAACAAAGACGAGTTGTGGTTTTTGTTAAAAGCAGTTAAATATTGGCCTTTTCCCCTCTGAGACGTCCACGAAAACCGACGTCCTTTACCAACGTGACTCCAGACTTTACGGTAACGTCAAAAACACTGAGTAGTCAACATTTTTCCAAGGTAGAGGATCATGTCTAAGCAGAATCAAAGTTTGACTTTAGCATGAAAGAGCGCAGAGTATTAATACGTGTAAATCTGAGCTGTTCTCCCCCTCAGGTGAGCATCAGCTGCACATTTTTTAATACAAATATCGGCCGTCGTGTCGTATCAGCGATCAGGAGCAGGTTTATTATCCGAGTTCAGTCACAGCTCAGACAGACCCAGCGGAAAAAAAACCTGCTTTTATAAAGAATATGTCTTCTGTATGTTTTTGCTTGAAGCCATTTAAATGAATCGTTTCTCTATTTATCAGAAGAAGAAAAATGTCACAGTATTTTCCCAGAGCGCAGGTGATGCCTGTAGGTCTCCTGTTTCATCCCACTGACACTGAAGACGCCTCGGTAAATATCACAGAGCGCTAAAAACAAACACTTATTTACATCTGAGGAGTTAACCGCAGAGCTTTTCTGCTGAAGTGTTCGATTTAAGCGCCAACGTTCCCACACGGGATCGTGAAAAATAAGGAGCGCCGGTTTGAGACCTTGAGTGGCCAAAAAATCCCGAGTCCCGTATCAGAAAACACATTAGAGCAGGAAAAACAAAAGGGATCAGGCTGTCCCTCGCTACAGCGCTCAGCCACCCGGCCGAGTGAGAAAAGAGCCAATCGTGTCCGTGTCTGGAGTCCCATCGGCCTGCAGCACTGCAGCCAAAGCAACACGACCACACCAGAGGCTCGCCTTAATTCACCATCCATCACTTTCAGATGGAGGGCTTCATTACAAAGCACTACAGTACAGGCTGCAACGAGAAAAAAAAAAAATTGGTTTGACCGCCTTCTCAATCACTCGATTCTGCACAGAGCAGCACTTTAGAGTGCCAGGTCCAAACTATAACCTTTACAGGATCTTTGCAGGTTGTTCCCAGGCTCCACTTCACAATTAGCCCCTTTCATAAACAGCTCGCCGCGTTTAAAAGCCTCTCCGCTCTCTCCCTCCTCTGAAGGCTGTTCTATATTTAGCCGAGCAAATTGTGTCTCTCACAACAGTTATGGTTTTCAGGGAGCAGTTGTCGATTTCTTCAAACACCGCTGCTGCTGCTCTGCTGCTCTGGAACCAACCTCTTCAAATGTAAATTGAAAAAGAAATTCATTCATTACCCGACGGCGCGCAGTCACTCCGGATGCGGAGTCTTCATCGCTGCTTTTATGATCTCTGCCCGAAAAAAAACTTTCCCTGATGGGACTAAACTCAGACATTTGCAAACAAACACGAGTGTTTTAAAGCTCAATTATTGATGTTTCTGTGATTTCTCAGAGGTGACGTGAGGCATGTTCAGAGGAGTTGACACGGCGATGACAAACCTGAGGGAAATAAAAAAAACACATTTGCTTTAATACGCCGGCTCTTTCCGGTGACTTCTCTCATTTTGGAAACTTAAAAGGTACCTGGAGGCGTCGGTGCGAAATGACTGCAGGATTCAAGAGTTTCAGATGCACACCGGCCGTAAATTATCAGTATTAAATTTTTCATTTTGATGTGAAAAGATTGAAACAGGGAGGAATTTAACGTGAAAGTGATTGTGAGAGGGACAAAAGAGCCCATCCTCGGAGAGACCGCCGCGCTCATATTTGCCCTTTTCAATCTGATTTATAAATGAGGAACCCGAATCTGCAGAATTTTTTTAAAGCCCAGGTTTTGAGACTTTTAAAGAAGACAAGTGTCGAGTTGTGAATTTTAACCGAGTTAGAAAGTGCAACAGTCACAACATGCCACTTTACCTTTAAGAACTTGTAATGCTGCTCCAGATCTTCATCCTTGAAGCCTGTCCCGATCTGGAAGAGACGAAAAGAGATAAGAAAGACACAGACACACAGATTTTCACACACACATATTCCCTGGTGGTGAGACAGCAGACGTTTGGCAGCTGCTGAACACAGAACAGCAAGTAAATCCTCCTCCAGACGAGGAGCGGCTTGTCTGCGTGCTCCGCCTGAAGCGTCATGTCACCTCTCAAAAGACCTGAGCCCTCTGAGACACGAGAATCACCTGGCGGGCTGACATGCACAGAAAGGGAATGGAGAAGAAAGCAGGTGTGTCATGCAAATATAGCGTTTTTCAGCGCTCAGATATATTCCAGGAGGTGTCCATCGGAAGCTTTATGTCAGTAAAGCTGCCTGACACCACAAGGAGGAGGGTTTCGAGGTGTTTCATTCAACTGTGACACCTTTGTGGATTCAGTTTTATCTGCCTGGCCAGGCCGAGTCCCCTACCAAGGCACCTGTGGGGCACCGTGACACAAGTGAGACCTCATATGAAACACTGATTTCACAGCTGACGCACAACAACTCTGCAGGCGCCTTTTTCTTTTGCAGAGAATTGTTTTGATTTAATCAGGCCTCTCAGCAGCTTGACGTAATCAGAGCGAGTGTGCAGGTGTGCAGGTGCATAGTTATGTCGAGCTCAGAGATTAAAGTCGCTATGATACGAATATAAAGTCAGCGATCAGCCACATGACGCTGCACATCTCCAGAGTCCTGATCCTGGAAAACAATGTGGAGCTGAGGGACTGAAACGTTGAAGTTTCATGAAAACCACGAAGAAGACTTTCACACCTACATTGTTTGGTGTGAAACCTCCCCTGGACCTTGGTCCGACCAAAAGAGGTGGTCTCGGTCCAGATCATAGACTGTAAATACTACGGACAACTTGGCTCCGCCTTCCGTCAAATTTGAAGCTGAATTGCTTGCGCTCAAACAGCGTATCCCCCCGGGTGAGCGACGCAATCTTCATACGCCCATAGGCTGTCAATCATAGAAAACATGAACCGCCTAAAAACTTTTAAAATTAAGCAGCACAGAAAAAAAGACTTGAGCAGAAAACAGTCAAGAAAAATTTATCTTCTGTGTAATAAATTTCTAGTTCTTCCACAGCTCCATAGGGATCGCTGGAGGAGGCAGGATTTATGACCTATACTGCAGCCCGTCACCAGAGGGTGCTGTTCTTGCGGTAGCTTCACCCAGCGAGGAGGCAGATGGCGTCCATTCTGTATACAGTCTATGATCCAGACCAAACTGAACTACGGTCTGGTTCACGCTCAGTCTGACAGAATTATTATGAAAGGTTCATACCAAGGACAGGAAATTACTCTAGGAGTAAAAGTATCTGTTATATAAGATTTTAAATAACAGGACATTTTATTATATTGTAGATAAAGTTATACCTCGTTATTGACAGATTATTTTTTCAAGAGTTTAACTAAATATACTTTATCCCGAGTCATCATTTTTTTCTCCTTTCCTGTCAATGACGACGATAAAGTCGTTGTCTAATGACAAAATTAATAATACAAACTCACAATAGCCTCATGTACAGCTCTTCAAGTTGTCGCTTTTGGTCGTAGAAAATCAATAATAATATGATGGTGGGAATGACGATTTTATTTATGTTTACGACATTCAAGACCCAAAAAACGTAGTTAATGACGATATCACGTAGGTTCATCGTTTATAGTTTGTTAGTTCGTTTGCAATAATGACAGAGTGAAACCTAAACAGACCGAACCAAACGTATACGATGTGACAAAAACACAGATCTAGTTTTGGACCTTGGTCTGGACTTTCAGGTGTTAAAACACCTTTAAATTCACATTGACACATTTCTGTCACACCCAAAAGCAAACAAGATCACCAACAACATGATCAATGATTTTATCATAATTTTGTCGTGTGTTTGTAGCAGAGAGGGACATTTCGACACAGTTTAGGCATGTATGACAATGTAGGCAAGACTGCTTTGTCCACAGGGGGGCGCCAAATTGACACAAACCAAAAGTTCTTGACAGGAGCTTTAAGAGCATCATACCCAGACGCTCCACGTTTCTCGTTTTGGTCGAGACAGCTGTTAGTTTGAGTTAGAAACACGGCCAGTAATCTACAACCTTCCTTTGAAACTTTCTCTGTATTCATAGAGATGTCACGGTGTGCTCCGAGTTTCATATTCAGAAGTCTTTTTAATACATTTGATTTTTTCTTTTGTGAAACAAGCTCTCACAAAAGTATTTAGCACAGAGTCATTCCTGTCCCCCCGAGCTGCAGACATTTACAAAGGCCGGTATTTGTGTTTGGGAAATGTAGCGTCGAGCCAAGGGTAGCTGTCCAGACATTTAAAAAACACGACAAAGAGCAGAAATTAAGTGTTCGGGCTGAAATAAATGGATTTAATCTGATGTTACATCTTCCTCCACGGCTAAAGCGTTCTGTATAACACCGTGCCAGATCCAATAAAGACGACATATCCAGTGAATTAGCAATTTAAGTCCATGCAATTTTTATGACTCCTCCTGTGTTTGTGCAAGACCCAAACAAAGTGAACACAATAGGTAACAATTAAAGCAATGTTGGGAGTCCAAAGAACAAGCTGCTGCTGTGAATCTAAGCTAATTGTCCTTCTGGTTTCACTTAGTGTCCCTCTTATTCTCTGAGGGGAGTCTATGTGAGCTGAGTCTGAGTGCAGCGGCTCCTGGATGCGCAGAGGACTCGAGGACTCGTGTCGGGCTCAAGGACATCTCAGCCCGACGTATAGTTTGAGATTACATCCGGGAAATGGAAATGTGGGTTAAAGTCTGCTCTCAGCGACAGTGGAGGCTCTCAAACGGAGGCTGTCCGGAGTTTAACGTGTCAAGGACAACAAGATTATTTTTTATAGATTTTACGCCCGCGTTTCCAGCCTGACATTGAAGAGCCGAAGAGGAAAAAAAATGATGAAATACAGCAGACGAGAACTACAGAAACCACTGCCATAAAAGACGCCATTAACTTCATACTTAACTATGAAACTGAGTCTACAGGAAGTGCCTCAAAACAGGAAATCCCTGCTACACTTTCAAGTATTTGTGACACGTATTTGTGTAAGAACCGAAGTGATTCTGCCTCTTACTTTTGAGACCGCAGGCCTACGAAGATTAGTAAAGCTGCCTCGCACGAAGCCGGCGCCACACCAACACAACTTTGGGAAAGGCACAAGGTGTAACTGCCAAGTTATCCACACAGCGCCGGGATCAGATAGAGGAAGCAGCCAGGGGATATAATAAATTAAAGCTGTGAGTTTCCATCTGAATGTGGCCAAGATCCGAGCTGAGAGTGCGGATTACTGACTTCCTCAAAATGTGTGTGTTTGGTTTCAATGGGCCACAATCGCCCCGCAGAAATAAATCACTTAGAAGAGTATCTGAAATATGAAAGACTATTGAATATCCGGCAGCAGAGGAAGATTAATGAACAGAGATGTACTGGTGCCTTGTGACACAGACAGAAATACGAACAGATGAGGAACAATTTAAATTGGTGGGATGAAAAATGAACTGCAGTACCGAATTTGAACAGCAGAGGGCTCCATCTACCTTTGCCGTTTCTGGTTAAGAGCGAAAAGTTTGTGTCTGTGGCTATAAACAGGCATGCAAACAAGTCAGCAGCAGCTTTTTGAGAATAGAATACCTGATCAGTTCGACAAGAGTACATTTGTCCAAATTTTCTGACTTTTTTTTTCCATTCCAAGTAAACGTCTCTTTTTCTTCCCTTATCTCAAGTACCTGTGGCGAATATCGTCTCTACACCTGCTTTGCGAGTAACTGAGAGAGAAGTGATGGGAACTGTTACAACCGTGCAGAAGCTTAAAGGTCTTCCGGGTTTTTTTTTTATTGTTTACGTCCAAGGGTTGTCCTGATATCAATATTGGATATCGAACAAATATCTGATGTTTATATCAGTTATCAGACCAATATTCAATATCAATTTTGGTCCGATATCAGCAAAAAATGAATACCAGATTACATCGGCCTGCATCTAATATCTCTGATATCAGCCCTCTGGTTCAAGCAGTCCATTCCAGACCTCCAGCAACTCTATCTAGCAGTGCCCAGATCAAGCATGCAGTGTGACAGTGTGACAACAGTACGTACGAAGGTACTAACTAAGTCGCAAGGATCTGATCAAGATCAGTATCGGCCAATACTGAAGGCTTCAATATTGGTATTGTATCAGTAGTAAAAAAGTTTTATTGGGACACCCCTAATACGTCCTACTCAAGGCAACGGCTGAAGTTCTGTGTGACATTCTCCGTGATACTGTTGCTAGGAAACAGACCAAAGATGGCAGCTCATGGCGAGTCTTGCCAGCAGCGTGATGAAGAAGGTGGAGATAAGGTTGTATGTCGGCTGTGTCGATCAGGTTTGTGGACTTTAACTAGGGTGGCCATATTCTGAATCCCCAACAAGTCACACGTAGTTAATTTTAAAAAAATTTCCAGGTAGTGTTGAGTGTTTTTTACGTGCTTCTAACTCAGTAAGTCCACACGACACAAACTCAAAACTTCCAAACAAAACCTCAGATATTTGACGGATTTTATAAACTCCCCCAGACAGGCCGGTCAGGCCCCAGAAAAGAGGACATGTCTGGGTAAAAGAGGACGTATGGTCACTCTACTTTCACTTTCTAGTTGGACCTGAGACCTGTGGTACTAGCTTTGCAACACTTACTGACCTCAACAGGCATCTTTTACTTGCAAGCTTAAATCCAGAGCTCAATAAATTGTTATATTTTTGAATGATTTCTGCTTAACAAGTCAGAATTTGAGCTTTTATAACATCCCTAGAAAATGCCTGTTATGTCTTTTCAAAATAAAAGCATAATTATTATGTAACAGAGCATAAAATAACCCTGTAGCCACTAATAAATACAGTCATCTCTTCTCTTCTTAGGCCTGAGGTGATGAGCCCACACCCTGAACTCAGCGTCCTGAGTCATAGAAGCGGAGAGCATCATCATGTTTCTACTGCTAAAAGAAAAAAGTGTGAGCTCCACACGCGCAGTATTTTCACATTTTCAAAGCAAGTGCCCTTCTGTAGTGTTTTTGAGAGCAACCACCATATTTTCCTCACTTATCCAGGATCGCCGTCTCAAGAGTGAAAAAAAAAACCTCCTCCATTGAGATCTTATTTCTATAAAAGCAGGTATTTGAGAAAAGGGAAGCCTGACAAAGTTAACATGATGATCTAACAGGCGCTCTGACCTCTGCCTGCTTTCAGTAGAGCTGCTCGGTGGTCAAAAAGCAGAGTGCTGCGGTTGTACCGGAGAGCTCCCAGGTGTGAATTTGTGTAAGTACATAAAAGTGTAGCAGGTGGAGGTGGTGGAAATGTGTGAGCTCGACGCTCGCTAAATCCCTTTTCCATGGATAAAGACATAAAAGTTACTGACAGGGAAAAAAAAAATGGAGACGGGAGCTTTTTCCGAAGGAGGAATTTATGCTCTGTTGTGAAGTCTTACTCATCGCAGACACACACACATGAATACACACAAGTGGTCACGCATTCTCCCATACATGCTTACCGCTTATCCTGAGATGTACCCGGTCACGCTTACACACACGTTTGTAGACACAAAGCTTGTGTTCAGTGCGTGTGTGTCTGAGCTGTCAGTCTCTTCAAATCCATCACACACACAAACACACACACTTTTAACAGACGTGAACGGAAAACACTCAACAGTACACGCTGAGAGAGAAACAAACATTACCCTCCATATGTTGTGTGTTTGTTTATGTGCACAGACCGCCAGAGAGGTGGAAAAAATTACAGTTTAACATTTTGAACCCAGGATCCGAAAAAGTCGATACACACGTCTGGGGAACTGTCAAACCTCAAACCTGTGTCGATGAAGATGTTTATTTCGGGTGCTGCAAACTCCTAAAAACATGATTTAAACATCAGAGTCCACGGCTGCCTGGGCTGTTATTAAAAATAAGCCAGATTTATGCAAATGTAATAATCAAAATAAGTTTCCCCACTCCAAAAACTCAGACGTTATTAAACTTGAAACACCTTGTTTGTCTTGCCGAGGAGTAAACAAGAACTTTTTTTCATTATTTCTCAGACTGTTTTCATTAAAAATTAAATCAGAAACACCGTCAGAGGGAAACAAACAGGCCCACACCTTGCAAACGGACTGGAACTCCTCGTTCTCCTCGTCGTAACAGGCCAGGAGGAAGCCGCCGTAAGTGCCCGTCCTCTTGCCTTTTCCCAGGTAGGCGCCAATCACGCACAGGTCCACCGTGTCTCCCACCCCCTCCAGGTAGTCCTTCTTCAGCTGAGGTGAGAACAAACACGACAACAGCAGCAGACGGATATTTCTTTGGTTTTCATTAAAACAGAGATAGGAACGGCTTATTATTAAGGCACAGTGTAATGCTATTAAAATGTGATCGTTTCCCACTGTTGGAGCAGAATTTCAATATTAACAAAACTGTCTCCCAATGACTCAAATGTTCCCAATTTTCTCTGCGTAAATTGAACGCCAGAAGGCGCACATAAATGTTGCTCATTAACAATGTGAGCCGTCAAAACTCTTGTTGAACCACCGACTGTAAACGCCGACCAACTACTAATCGGAAACATGTTTGTTGTTTCCTCCAGAAGTACTGAATCTGTTTTTGTACAGACGATTAAACTGACTGGAGCCGACTGAGCTGTTTGGAAAAGAGCTCAGACAAGAGATCTGCTCCTGATCCTCATGACTCTGTTTTCAGGCTTTGGTTGAGTTTTTTCACCGTTATTGACTAAAAGCGAATGGATCCTTTTTCATTTTTTGATTCTGCTGAAGATTTGAGCTCATATGCAGTGATGTAGGTACATGATGCTGCAGGGAAACTTTTCTCAGCTGTTTTTTAAAGAATAAGAGGAAACTTTGGAGCGTTCGCAGAACTCTTTCAGGTCAGTTTCAGTCGGACTGAGCCGAAATACATGAAAGACAAAATTGAGCTCTAACCGCATTGACCAGGTTTGTTACACCGACTACCAGAAGTTTGATTTACTACGATACCTGGCTTCACTTTCATAAGGTCGGAGAGTGGCGAGAAGAAGGGAGGAGGTCCGTTTCTTCTTTCACCTAATTTCGACATTAAAGTCAAAATTCCAAGATTTAAAAATCAAAATTGTGAGAATAAAGTCGAAATTTCAACTTAAATCTTCTTCCTCTAGTTATTTTTTTTTCTTTTCATGTAGCTCTGACCCTTTTTCTTACATCGTCGAGGAGAGGATGTGTTTTCCAGAAACTGAACTTTGGCCATATAATGTTCCAAGGCAGTTCAGTCATATCACAACTACACTTGTTTACATATCCAAGGCAACGGCTGAGGTTCCATGTGATGTTCTCTGTGATACTGTTGCTAGGATACAGATTCCACATCCTGAGGCACTTGTAATAATATCAGGAGACTTGAACCGTGTCACCCTCTCCTCTCACCTGACTGGATTAACTCAGTTTGTTTACTGTCCTACCAGAGAAAACCAAACCCTGGATCTGCTGTATGTCGACGTTTACAGAGTTATACTGTCTTACCACCACTGCGCGAGTTAGATCATAACTTTGTTTATCAGAGATTCTAGACAGATACAATTTATTTGGGGGTTAAATAAAGTTCTTTTATTGTCTCTTAGTCGTTAAAATAGTTAATTCAGTACTTTAGAAATGTAAAGCTAATGTGTCAGTTTATGTTTTTATGTTATTGCCAGTAAACGAAGGTTATTAGGCATGTGCGGCCATTCAGAGCTTACGTCCAATAGTTGTTTTAATCCACACAAGGACACTAAACTGACTCAACACGTTGGTTTCAACAATGAAGCTCGGTGTGAAGTGTTTGAGTTCCAGACCTTGAGCCAGTTATGGGAGCGCTTTGCAATTTCATAGGTGGCGTCCTTCTCCAGAGTCTTCACCATAAGGCCCTCGCAGGAGTCTACACACACACACAAACACACACACACGCGCACACGTTAATACATCAAAACACAAGTCTAGTGGTGCAGGAAGGAAATGAGCAGATTATCTTGAGATATATGGAGGCTGTTTTGTCTCCCTCTGAGATACAAACACACACAAAGAGAGACAAGGACACAAGCATAATACACATTTGGAAACACACTTCTATGATCTTTTTCAATAACACACACACACACAAAAAAAAACTCAATTACACAACTCACAGGTTCTGTTTCCACTCACACACAATCACACTCAGGCAAACACAAGATAATAGGAGAAAGATGCAGCCCTGAGAGAAGGAGGAGTAGCAGGCAGGCAGGGAGGGAACAAACACACAACCACTGCACACAACACTCACACAATTACACATGAAGGCAGCAGGCGAGGCCACAAATTAAATCAAACTTGTTCGAAACACACCCACACACGCGGAGAAGGTTCAAGACACACAGGGACAGCAGGAAGGAAAACAAGCGCGCAGTTAGTGTGCACACTAAAAAGTTCAAGACACAAAAAGAGGTAGCAGGAGGTAAACAAAAAAAAAAAGTGTGTCTTTGTCTCACACTAACCCGACAACACCTACACAAACACACACACAGACACACACACACACACACCTTTGACGGACTGCTCCAGGAACTCTGCGATGGTCTCTGTGTTGTCGGTGTCGAGGTATCGGGCGAACACAAACTCTCCCTCCACCTCTGAGAAGCTTTCTCTCAGCAGAGCCCGACGCCGACACAATGGCTGTCGCACCAAGGACTACACACACACACACACACACACACAAATATGGACACACACACACACAAAACAAAACAGAGAAACAGACATATCATCACAAACAGCAGAACTGTGTGTCATTACAACCATTTCCCCTTCATAGCTTGGAGCCTTGCAATGACAAGGATGAAGTGCCATCTCAAATAGCTACCCACACACACACACACAAACACACACACAACCTCCAAGTCTACTCACTGAAAAACACAGTCACGACAGCTCTGAACACACATACAAACTCCCACACAGAAAAGTACAGCCTCATACCAGCAGAAAACACACAATCCTCGCGCCTGTGTGTGTGTGTGTGTGTGTGTGTGTACAACCTCCTACCTACTGTAGTTTTCAGGGCGCTCAGAGTTTGTTTGACAGCAAACGGATGAAACCACCAAGAAATCTTGGACATTAAATATACCCTCAAACACTGTGAGTGCACACTCTTACAGCGTTTCCTCAACATGCAGCAGCATTAAAGCGGCCTCTTAAGGACAGACTGGAATACACGGACGTGGTCTTAGCCGTTGATTTTGCACTAAAGTTTGTAAGTATGCCATTACCGCTGACCATTACTGGCTGCTGCTGCAATATGCATGACCAATCCTGCATGCACCCATGCTAATTCTGACCATTTGGGTTAATAAGTTATACAAACGTGACGAGAATTGCTTTATCCTTACAATGAGCGCCTGCTTTAATCCAGAGGTGCTGGATTTGTGGCCTGTAGTCCAACCAAACCAAGTCCAGGTCTTTTCCAGATCTGTCCATAATTCAGACACGCCTTCCAGCTTTCATCTTCTTTATTAAACTGTTAGTTCGTTCAGTTGTAAGTGCTCGCTGCACGATGCGCCTGCAGGGTTTGTTTGACTTCCTGCTCTCAGTCAAAGCAACTTTTTCTCTGCATCAGGTCTGCATTTAGGACCTGCAGGATCCCAAAATAGATGTTCCGATACTGCCAAAAATGCTGGCATCAGTATCGGCGAGTCCTGGAGTCCAGGCACCGATCCGATACCACGTAATTTATTAAATTATTAATTTACTGGTTAGCTCTGTTTTTTTATACTGTTCTATTTCAAAATAAATGGCATGAATTCGCTGTTTGATAATCATATTACAGTCGTGCAGGCCTGGTATGGTATTTTGTTTTAATAACAAACTGGTATTGGATCGGTACCAACAGCACAAGAATCGGTATCAGGAAGGAAAAATTGGGATCATCTCTATCCCAAAACCGCTGTCTTTTTTAGACGCCTACCAGCAGACTCAGCTTACCCTAGAATTGACAAAGAGGCAGAGCAAAGACAGGATTTAACAAAAACATGTCGATGTTCTGATGAAGGTGGTCCTTTTAGAATGACTGTTTATGGTTTATGGTGCTTCTGCAGGCCGCCTCAGGAAACTGCATGTTTTTGGCTCTTTGACCTCGTCTTCATTTCTCCAGACCGGATGGATTAGTTTGGGGCTAACACACTGATGCAGTTACATTGTGGGCGGCTGTTGTACGCTGATTGCAAACATACAGACCGTTGTGTTTACTTTTAATGTCTACACCTGCAGCACACGTACACGGCACTTATATTCAAATCAAAAAGAATTCTGAACACTTTAAAAAAGTTATTGATTATGTGCCACAGACCATTAAATGCCTTAATTCCAAATAGCCATAGTTAGTCACCTATAGTCTGCTCAGCTGTTCTAATCAGGTTAAAGTTGAGACTTAGGAAGTGTGATTATGACGATGTTACTTATTTTTTCTATTAATTATGTGTCATAGTTGTCTACATGCTGTTTTATTTTTTATCTGTACTGTTCTAGATAAAATGCCAAATGTGTGATTTGCTGCGATTTAATTTCCCTATGGGACAAATAAACTACTACTACTACTAGGAACGTCTGTTGCATTGGTGAATCTCCTCTTGTGCTCTCTCTCTCTCTCTCCTTCTACCTCTCCATGCAGGTGTCAGAGGGCTGGACACAGGGTGGTATCAGCAGGAGCAGATTAAAAACACTGCGCATAAACGCCCGTGTTTTTCATATCCCAATATACGCTGCAGAAATGAAAAAATTATGCAATATGAAGTTGTTGTTTTTTTAATACTGTGCAGCACATCTATGGCTGTCTGCTGCTGTGAACGAGGCCTGCTTGACCCTAATGACTCCATAAGATGAAATAAAGGTTGGATGAATGGATGAAAAGTGATGCCCAACACACCCGCTGCTATCTTTCGGTTTCATTATGCCTCTTCGGGAGCTAACAGTCTATGATATTAAAAACAGAAGTTTTCCTTTTGCTTTTAAAAACCATCCTCGAGTGAAAACCGGAGGATCTGGAGCCTTTTTGCTCTTCTGAAATGGCTTCGGGCGAATCATTGATTTAAGTTGTTCGCATAAATAGAAAACAAAGCTTTTGTACGGCTGAACACACCGGACACTGCTGCTCTGAACGGTGACTCCGCTTCGACTTTACCGAGGTAAACTAAGTCCACCTCATTCTGCGAACAAAAAACTTGAACTTTGAGTCATTTGAGTTAAACTGCAGAGTCTCGTCTCTTCCTCTGGGGTCTGTAAACCTGGATGATTCCCAAAAATAGCACCAAGGACACAACCTTGGTCGCCTGGTGTTGGTCTTGGCAAAAAAAAAATAAATAAAAACAAAAGGCGGTCACTCCACAGGCCGGAAACAGAGATATCAACGACTGCAGGGAAGCTGGAATTGGACAGTGTGGATTTATAGCCGAGAGGAATAATTAAAAATAAAGACGCTAAATAAAGGCAGCAGCGGAAAAAGGCCCAAAATGAAAGTGAGGAGAGACAAATTAATTCCTAACATTTACATAAATGCTATATTAGGAAGGGGAAACAGCAACAAAACGGCCGAACTTAAAGAGCCGCTGTTGTTCTTTTGATTCAGTTATTTCGTTTACGTCCACCTGGGAAAACCTGCATATCATTGGCTGATAGAGACATCCGCTCATTTGCATTTTCTTTGGCTGACTTTTAGGAAATTAGCTTCAAAATAGAGTATTATTTGGATGAAATCATACATACCCTCAATCTCCCAAACACAGACACACACAGGGTCGAAAAAAGATGAAAAAACAACTCTCTCTCTCTCTCTCTCTTTCCTTCCCGCAGACTCAGTCAGTCTCAGATAAACACACACACTCAGACACACTCCGCTGGAATTACAATGAGCATTACAATCATTATCTAGTTACGGCCTCCAGTAGCACCATCATTGGCATTCAGGGACGTTGTCTGCATCTCAGAGGTGCAACGAGCACGCTCACAAACAATAAACACATAAACACACACACACACACACACACACACACACCCCAATTTTAAATGACAACAGGAGCGCAGCCAGAGAGATCCCTGGGTAATATTTTTCCCCCATCATCATCAGCAGAGGGCCTTACCTCGCCGTTGAGGTAGAGGAGGTCAAAGGCGTACACGCACACTTGGACTTTGATCTCCGAGGCATCCACATCCTGCGGGGAAACATCAACACACACATGAAAACACACGCGTTTTAATATTTCTCCCTGGACGAAAATATGCAAATCGACGCATCTTATTCACAAATCGCTACATTCAACCTTGGGACTTGTTACAAAGAGCGCTTTGATTTCTCTCCCGTTCATCGTGTTGCTTTTAATCACACAGCCTTAAAGCTTCACCTCCACCTTTTAACAACATCACACCTCCTCTTTTGTGCTCATCTCTCTCTTCCTGCACCACACCTTCCTGTTCCTCAGCCCGCTTTAATCACGTCTCTCTCTTCCCTACTCCTCGGGTTTTTTGCACCTCATCCAGCTTATTAACTCAGGCGAGGAGGTTTTGTTTTCCCTGCAGTTTTGTGTTTGGCAGACAGAGCTGGCCCCGATTTCTCAGGAATTCGGTGTGAGGCTGTGAGCCAGGTGTGAGGAGGAACCTACTGAGAACAACTGACCAGATCAGAGTTATTATCAGTGACATTGACCAAACTCTCAGGTTAGCGTCCTCACAGTTTGACTCATCCAAAAACATTTTGAGGTATACCTGCACTTTTTAAACCTCTTTTGATTTTAAACCAGTCTAAAATGACAGGAGATTTCAACTGCAGTACAGTATTTTACCCAGAAGATGGCGCTTGAAACAGCTGATCTATTGTTTGTTTACTGAAAACTAACTGGAGCTACTTTTTGAGAAGAAAAAGAGACCTCCTGTCTCAATGATTCCTGCAACCCAACTTATCTTCTCTGAGAAAAACCCCTTCAAAGCTTTTTGGACGGTAAAAGCTTTTGTGGTTTGCAAATCAATCAGGATTAAACATTTCTAGGTCCTCTGAATTCGATCAATCCACTTTGCTAACTCAGTGGTAATGAAGCATGAGGCTGAAAAGCATTTAAACAAATTCATTACATGAGGTTGAACGTTGAACTTCTGCAGCTATCTTAAGGTTAAAAGAACTCAAAGATGTTTTATTAATAATCTTCCTGTGCTGATCGGGCAGAAAAACTTCACTTTGTGTTGCAGCATAATTAATTCTCTACCTGTGCTGCACCTTGAAAACCTGAAAATGAGCATGTGGGAGGATACATGGAATCGGGCCATTCTTTTGATCACAGGAAGGAGTTTAAGCAAAATGACTTTTTAGCACTTTTTAACACTTAGCATATAATAAACATCGAGCTTTTCTCTAGGCGTGGGAGGCGCAACTCGCAATAACTTACCTTAAACAAAAGCCTGAGATAATATCTTACAAATGTATTTATGAACAATTGCAAATGCACTCAATAAATTTTTTTGCTTTCTATGGTTCTGTTTGGCGTTGAAAAAACACTTAAATCAGCTGATATTGTGAAGAAACAGCAGGACTACATACGCTGTTACTTTCCTCTCCCTCTTCTTGCAAGTGTGTCTCATTTTGATTTTGTGTCATTTGGTGGATATTAGCAATTTTTTGGATATGTTCTAGACAAACAAAGATCAAATCAGATCAAACTTCCGTCCTTACGCAGATGACACTATTCTGTATTCTTCTGCTGTTGAGAACTTACAACTTAATACTTAACAAGAACGAAACAACGTTCTTTGTTTTATTTTTCAGGACAACAGCTTTATCTCAACTGTCTCCAACTATCAGCACTAGATGGAAGCAATGCTGAATGAGTTCCAGTGAACAAACATCTTGGTATTTGTATAATGATGATTGAAATCTAAGATTCATCATTAAAACCTCATCAGCAGAAACTCTGATTACTTCTTCCAAACAGATCTAACTTTCCTCTTACTTGTGGAAACAGTGTTTTTGAAACACTCTTGCTTCTACCCAGTCTCGGTCTATCAGTCTGCTCTGAGATACAGAGCTGGAGGTCCCTATGACACTCATTGTATTCTGTATAATACTTGGTTGGTCTTTACTGGCACAGAGGTGCGATAAGCGCTGATATCTCTCTGTCTCTCTATCTGTATACCCCTTACTGGTCGCTCTCCTCTTCTTATATAACGTTTATGATGAACTGAACCACTGGACCTTGTCAAACTCCCTCTGACTGTCTAATGCTCCAAGAACCACAGCTTTATTCTGAACTTGAAAAATCTGCCTTTGGTTTTTGAGCCCCAGGTGTATAAGCTTATCAACGGACCCTGAAGAGACGGTTTCTCCTGAACAATTTTCGTCTTAATATATCAGATCACTTCATCTCAATGTGCCAGTGTTTTCACTCAGCTTTACTGTTTTTGGTTAATTAAGGTCTCTTTTAACTGTATCCCAACATCATTATTAATAAGGGAAACTGATTAATTTCAAGGCTAAAAAAAGGTTGATAGTATCATCTTTTTTAAATTAAAATACTGGTATCTAGTTCAAGTGATAAAATAGTTTTATTACAAAAGGTCAGAATGATAAAAACATACTGCAGATGATCTTGTGTAACACTGTCTTGGATCATGTGATGTTCCTCGTTAGCCAATGGACTTTATGGTCTGACGCCACCGTATTTCAATGTGTCCAAGCTGGAAATTTTCAATCAGTTTCTACCACTTACAAAAGGTGTCCCACAAGGATCAGTTCTCGGTCCTCTTTATGTTTAATCTACAGTTAATCAATAACAATGGGCCCAAATGCCTGGTGCCACCAGATTTCAATGCTTCAAAGTGACATATATTCAGTCAGTTTTAACCACTTACAAAAGGTGTCCCACAAGGTTCAGTTCTGGGTCCTCTTTATTTACAGTCTACAGTTAATCAATAACAATGGGCCTAAATGCCTCATGCCACCAGATTTCAATGCTTCAAAGTGACATATATTAAGTCAGTTTAAACCACTTACAAAAGGTGTCCCACAAGGTTCAGTTCTGGGTCCCTTTTTATTTGTAGTTAATCAATATCAATGTGCTCCATGGCCTGATTCCACTGGATTTTAATGCATCAAAGTGACAGATATTCAATCAGTTTTAAAGGGATATTCCTGCGTAAAATTGATTTAGGGTTAAAAACACATCACAACAACGAGTTAGACACCCAGTCGAGAGATGGATGTTGCCGACCGCTTGCTTCTCTAGTTCCTGTGGTCGTAACTGAAGTTGGTATAACTAGAGAAGCAAGCGGTCAGCAACATTCATCTCTCGACAGGGTGTCTAACACGGTGCTACAGTGACTCTAAATCAATTTTACACCAGAATATCCCTTTAACCACTTACAAAAGGTGTTCCACAAGGGTCACCCCAGGGCCCACTTTTATTTATCGTCTACAGGTAATCAATAACAATACGCTCCATGGCCTAATGCCACCGGATTTCAATGTGTCCAAGCTGCAAATTTTCAATCAATTTCTACCACTTACAAAAGGTGTTCCACAAGGATCAGCCCTGGGCCCTCTTTTATTTATAGTCTACAGTTGTTTCATTACAGTGCGCTCTATGGTCCTCTGTGGCCAGAGGCGTTCATAAATTAGTGACCTGTGGATGTAATATAGCGGCTCAATGAGCTGCATCTGTGGCTTTTACTCACTTCCTGTGAAAAGTCCATGGTTATTTCAGTCCCCAGGGGGATACAAACAACTATCTCTGGATTGACAAATTCTTTGTGCACTGAGGAAGTCACTCCGACTGACAGATTCAAAGAAGTTTTGTTTTCCTACACAGAAAAAGAGTCGCCCCAGCGACAGAGCCCGCTTGGTTCAATATAAACTCAGTTTGACGGAGACCTTTGAGTTGAGAGGAGGGGTCCTTTGGAGAATTTCAGATCTGAACTGAAAGAAATACCCGTGTTGTGTTTGGATTAAACTAAACCGAAATATAACACAATAAGGTTGTTTTGTTACGTTGTACTGCGATCATGTTGAAGACATTAAGACAGAGTTTCTATCCAATCAAACCGCATCACAATATTTACTGTAGCAACATATAATCTCTATATGTAAAGAAATCTGTCTTCTGTTCGTCGGCAGCTGTAACGTTTTAAAATCTGTGATATTTACTTGAAATGTTTTATTAAATACTACCTCTCACTTCCTCTTATACCTTCTTAGTTAACAGATAAGTTGTAATGAGGTGTTGATATTCCAAAATTGAATTTCCTGGAAGGGGATTAAGAAAGTAATTATTCTCTTTATTATAATTAAACTATATCTGAATGTATGAAGAGCTGGTTGAACCTAATACTGATGTTCTTCTTGAAGGAAACTCCGGGGATCAGAAACACAGAGAAATGCCTCCACAGTCTTCAAACCTGAAGGATTTCTCTCCTGATTTATCCTTCCTCTCCTTTCCACTCTCTCATTACTTTCCCCTCCACCCATTAATGATGTTTAATTAGTCCGTATCGGGTTTCCATCTTCTCATCTGAAATATTTCATTTCAGCCTGAACGCTCGCAGAGGGAGCAAACAGCGAAGATGTGGCTACAAAAAAGCCTGGAGGGCCATACAATCAGTTTGTGCAGCAAACCGTCATTACAAATAATCATAAATTCATCGTGGCAGTAGCAGTATCTTGCAAAATATCATCAGGATAATCATTTTCAGCCATTTTCATCATCATCATCATCATCATGTCCTCGATATTTGAACCCTCGTTTCTCCTTTTTCTAATTTACGGAGACGTCACCGCGCATACAAAAAGGAAAGTCAAAGGGACAAATTTTATTCTAATGTGACTGGCGGAGTGGAAAGAGGCCGTTATTTTGATCAAAACTGAAAAAACACCTCGCTGACATTTGCAGTCTCACAGCCCTCCCCTCCTCTCCTCTCTCCTCGATCCATTTGACTCCTCCTGTCTCCTACTTATCAATCTCCCCTCTCTTTCTGTCTGCTCCTTCGCCGTCCATCTCCCTCCATCTGCCGGATCATTTCACTCCATTATCCACCTCTCCCGGTTTTCATCTCTGTCTAGTTTTCTCTCTCTTTAACCTTTTCACTTCTTCATCGTCTCCTGCTTTTTACCTTTTTAACACTCTGAGCAGTTCACCTACCCTCCTCCCGGTTCATACCTTTCTCTTGCGTGTGGTGAGGACCTGGAAGGGCTGGATTTGCTTCTTCTCGCGATCCCAGGCCACTGCCTCGGAGTCCAGGACGCAGGACACCACAGAGTCCTTCTTCACCTTTAGGAGAATTAAAATGAAGACAGAGAGGGGAGAGAAGTATAAATAAACGAAGATATTTTATTCAGCAAAGAGATGAGAAGCCAGACAGCAAAGTCGGCTCTCGGAGGAGAAGTTTCATCTTGAAAAATAACAAACTCGGAGGTTTAACCTCAGCACAAGACTCGGCTTGGAGCTTTTTCAAAAGCACAGACGCAGGCAATCAAACCGAAGGCATGCTCGGGCTGTTTCAAGACCTGCAGATGCCCTCCATTTGTTGCGAAAGGTTTTGGAAGTCAACACATTAACATTTCTCTCCCTCCACACTACTTTCATTACTCCTCATGTGTAGCTACCTCTGCTGCTGCTGCGTATTCTCCTCAACCAGGGACCAAAGTGTTAAACACGCCCCCTCGTTTGGTCCTGTGCCCACGCTGTGCCAAAAGCCAAAAGCCTCACAGGAGACTTCTCTGCAGTTCGCCTCTCCGTGTTTTTTTTTTGTTTTCCTCATTTCTGCACGAACTAAAAGGCTTTGGCAGCTGATTAATAGAAGAAAAGAGACACTGATAGGGTTTAGGCTGGGATGAAACATCTATGGGCAGATTATATTGACTATGGCTGCTGCTTTTCAAGATCAGAGAACGCGTCTGCTAATTATCTGAGTCACCAAAGCCTCAGCGTGCAGCTTAGGGATGTTAATCTCATGCGTCTTGGTCGATTTGGGGCCACCGGGATGCTTTAAATTCACGGCTTGGACCAGAATGAAAGCGGATCAGCGAGTGATATCTGAAAGGTGATCAGAGGGAGCAAATCAACAGTTCAAAGCTAAACAGGTTGTTTAGAGACACATGAGTACACCAAACAAACAGTTCAACCAATAAAGGTCATTAAACTGCGTCGAACAATTAATTTACCCGTATCAATATTAATGTGATCATATTTTAATACTAATTTGTAATTAAAGGCACTGAGGACCTGTGGAAGCTTTGGGAGAATTAGTTTTCCCTCATCATTATGTAAAATAATGCAGCAAGGTGCTGGAAAATCTAATCACACCATCTCCTTTGTGCGGGGACCTTGTGTTGGTGTGAAGTTTCGCTCAGGCTTTGTTTGCTCACTGTTATCCTGACAACATAATGTCAGGGAGAAAAAGATGCAAATTCAAGCCAATTCCTTCAAAAACTATCCGCCGTGTTAATTGTCAGCAATCAATTTCTGCTTAGAGATCATCTTTTAAATGACACAGGACTTTTTTAGAGCGCAATCACGGTCGATTGAACATCATAAATGGGGAATCTCACATGAAATAGATATGAGGAAAATTGGTAATCAAGTAAAACCCTGAGATCTTAAGAGTGGGATGTGATTGGCAGCAGGAAAAAACTGGTATGTCAAACCCCCTTATCCTGCTCTCCTTTCTACACACACACACACACCCTGAAACATAAATTTATAATGGAAAGCTTCGTCTCTTAATGACATTTAGCCAAAACTGTTATTATATAATATTTTTTGGTTTTAATGTGATTATAACAGCTTTTCACATCATTATAACACATTTACAATCTGCTGATAAGCAACATTTAAACTCCACAAGAACTGTCCTGGGTCCTCTTTTATTTGTAGTCTTCAGTTAATTAAAATGGGTTCTGCTAACAAAAGGGGTTCCACAAGGATCAGTCCTGGGTCCTCTGTTATTTATAGTCAACAGTTCATTAATAACAATGGGTTTCACTGACAAAACATGTTCCACAAGGATCAGATCTGGGCCTTCTTTTATTTTTAGTCTTCATTTAATTAAAATGGGTTCTGCTAACAAAAGGTGTTCCACAAGGATCAGTCCTGGGTCCTCTTTTATTAATAGTCAACAGTTAATTAATAACAATGGTTTCCACTGACAAAACGTGTTCCACAAGCATCGGTCCTGGGCCTTCTTTTATTGATAATCCACAGTTGATCAATAATGCATTCCACTAATAAAAGGTGTTCCACAAGGTTTAGTTCTGTGTCCTCTTTATTTTTAGTTCAGTTAATCAATAACAATGGGCTCAACAGCCTGATGCCATTTGATTCCAACGTATCCAAGCTGCAGATATTCAATCAGTTTCAATCACTCACGGAAGGAGTTCCACAAGGATCAGTTCTTGGCCCTCTCTTATTTATAGTTTGCAATTAATTAATAGCAACCCAACTACCACTGCAAATTCAACCAGTCCCTTTAGTTCTGTACGCAATTTCCTCCTCTCCTCCCAGCACCTGACTATCATCCTTGTTGAAGGTTGAGAAACACATTTACCGACCAGGATAACAAAGAAAGTCTGAGCGAGTTTTCAGATGTTTTACACAAAAATGAGGGTAAATCAGGTAATCGTCAAAACTCAAAGACTACAGCTGCAACAAGTGACAAAGACAGAGGCTGCTACAACTCCTGAAAGAAGAAAGAGGAGTAATTATGTTTGTTAAAGTCGATGTTAGTGCGGGAAAATCAGTGCTTGTCTTTTTAGAGTTTTAATCGGTGTGTGTGTGTGTGAGAGAGAGAGAGTTATTATGCAGGTGACTGAATGAGTAAATGTTTTAATCTGAGACCGACTGCGAGTGTGTGTGTGAGAAAGAGAGAGAGAGAATGAGATGCCACTCAGCAATGCAGCGGAGACAGCAGATAAAAATAAACTCACACCTTTATCTCTGAAGTGTGGTCGACATTTCTAACAGTTTTATTGCGCCTCATTTTTACATCAGGTCATTGAAACTCTCATTGCAAAAGTTTCTGCATAATCTGTCGTTTTAAGGGGAAACCTGGGATGTACTGTATATGGTTGTTTAGTTACTGTATAATCTGAGTGGGGTGTCATTTTGTGAACTTCATTGATATAAATTGGAGGAACTTAGGACTTACATAATTCAGCATGTGATTCATTTCCGTCACTCATACTGCTGAGGAGCGCCGTGAATGCGATGAATAAGTAATCTAGAGCTGTTTTTACTGAACTTATATTTTAATCAACTGGAGACAGAGCGGGGGAGCCCGCCGCCGGTACAGTGCAGCGGATCACTCTAAAGAGCCTGCACAGAAACAAGAGTCTCACAGTTAATTAGCACTGATTTTCTAAATGTGGATTTAACTACCAAGTCCTAGACCTCAGGGACACCTCAGTTTGAGGTTCAGGTCCAGAATACCAGATAAAACACCTCTCTTTACAGAGTTATAACAGTTTGTAAAGTCTATGTTTAAAGCTTGTAAGGAGAGAAAAAAAACACTGAAATCCATATCGCTCTCTTTCATACAAAAGAGGATTAGGGCCACAAGAAGAGAACAAAATAATTACAGGAGGGAGAATGTTTTAATTTCCATTTCGAGATTAAAGTCCAAATTTCCAGATTAAAATCGCAATTAAAAAAAGGCTAAATGAAAAAAAATCGAAACGTCAAGATTAAAGTCCTCCAAGTTTGTGTGTTTTTCTTCTGTAGCGTCGTAATCTTCGGCGCAGTCTTTTCAGAGTCTAAATACTTTTGACCACACTGTGTTTGTGTGCTTAAAGAGCAAAGATTTCCTTGTTAAGAAATCAAATTCTAAAGTACAGCTTTATACTGTTCTTCAGAGGACATGTTGGCAAGTGATGAGCGAACGCTGTCGATTCATTATCATTAATCTCAACATTACAACTTTATTCATAAAATTTCATCTTTATTTTTGTCAATTTTAATCTTGTAATTTCGATTTAATTAACGAAATTTCAACTATTCATGTTGATTTTAATCTACAAAATTTCGACTTTAATCTCAAAATTTTTACTTATTTTTAACTCGAAATTTTGACATTATTCACAACATTTTGTAATCTAGAAATATAACTTTTTAATGTTAAAATTTCGATGTTAAAGCTTTGTCAACAGGAGCCGCCAAACTGAAAGTTGCTCACAGGAGCTTTAAATAGAGCAAAAACAACAAAATCGATGTTGATAATGATTTTTTTTCTAAGTTCATGTTCTCGTCCAAACTTTCTTGAAACATGCTGCTGGATTTGGGTTTCAAAAATACTGAAACAGCTGCATCTTCACCTTTTCTTTTAACAACATTTTAACATTTAGAGGCAGAGAAGACCAGTTTCTGGAGGTTCCCCCTTTTGTTGTAGTTTTTGCGTGTCATGGCGTGGTTAATGTTTTCATTTGGTTAGGAGTCGGAGCTGCAGGCAGACCTGGACTCTTCTACTACAGAGCCAAGCACTGCAGTATAAGTTGCTCCTAAACCTTTTTTCTATTGTTCTGCATTAATAAAAACAAAAACTAAACACCTGACAGGAGATTCTGAGACCATCAGGCAAGAATAGGACGAAAAGTTTCCCCACTTTGAAAACCAGTTTCCTTGGTTCCTGACAGAAGAATAGATGATGCAACGTAACGGCAAACATGCCCTCGTCTTCACTTTTTTGAAATGTGCTGCAGGCGTCAAGTTGAAAATGAGCATATACTTTTTATTCCTCAGTCTCAACATTTGATCCGTTTTCTTTGCGCTAATTTCAAAAGAGCTTCAGCTTTGAAAGACGAGGCTCTAAATTTAAATGAAGAGGCAGTTTCTTTTCTTCCGACATGCTAATGATGCACTTAGCTTTCACTGTTGCTTGTTATTTCAACACAAAACCCAACAATTCAAGCTGGGATGATGGTGTAAAAAGAAAAGGTGAGAGACAGCAAAGGAGAGAGGCAGAAATAACAAGGAATACAGGTTTAGAAGTGTGGGGAGAGAATCAGCAGATAAAAAAAAAACAGTGAAAGAAAAGGGCTTATAAAAAAAAGAAAGGAGATGTGTTGAAACAGAGTGTGAAAGACAAATGGTGAGAAGGGAAATACAGAGGAGAGAAAAGGGGAGAAAGTGAGAGGAGGAGAACGGACAGGCGATGAGGAGAAAAGAGATAGAGAGAATATTTAAGGAGCGTGGAGGGAAACAGGAGGTAAAATCGTAGACAGTCTGAATCAAAGCGTCCAAAAAAAGATGAGAGGAGGAGCGAGAGACAAGTGTGAACAAGACAAGGGTGAGAGGAGAGGTGAGGCGGCGAGCGGCGCAGAGAGGGACCGAACAGGTATCATCAAGAAGTAATGAAGAGGAATAAAAGGAGAAGTGATTAGACGAGGAGACACGAGGAAGCGACAGGTGGACGGAGAGAGCAGGAAAGGTGAGCGCCGGAGATAAAGAGACGAGTCGCTTCTTTAACTTCTTGAAAGAAAAGCGGCGGAAAGGAGAAGTAACGTGGAGTGATGAGATATGATGAGAGGAGAAGTAAACTTTTCTGCTTAGCTGAGATGACCTAATGCTGAGAGAAGGGAGGAGGAGGAAGGAGAGAAGGAGGGAGGGGGTCTCACACAGAGCTGCACCGTGAGCAAGCCAAACCATTCAAGCCCTGCTGGCTGAGAGTTATTGGTTTTCCACGAAACAGGGCGACTGTAAAAAGGAGCCTTTTACTCTAATTTGTAGGAGGTGTGCTGCTTTAAAGAAAGTGCAGCGTGAGCACCTCTACAATCTCACCGAGGAGGCTGCTCCCTCTGTTACAAATCCTTCCTGCAGTATACTTACAGTACTGACAGCTGGCTGTACAACCCTGAATTCAGACAGTCTGGGTTTAAAGTCGAGCAAATGTTGGCGGAGCACCTGTTTTTTTTATCTGGAAGTGCACAGGTTAGCACAGACCGAACGGCGAGGTTAAATAACACTCGAAATGTGCGACACGTATCTACGCACAGCAAATGTGACAAAAGAGCGAGGATAAAAACCTGTGAAGTGCAATTACACTGTTAATCTAATGATAAGAAGTGTGATAGCTAAATCCTTATTGAGGGTGTGTGTGTGTGTGTGTGTGTGTGTATTAGCTTTAACAGCTCCAGCGACAGTCTGCTGTTCATCATAATTACACAATACCTGTGTTTGAATCTAAAAATGATTTTTTTCACCCATAAATCTGAGCGACAGCTGGCTTTGGCTTCCGGAGCCATAATTACATCTGCCTGTTTGAAGAAATCTACAGAATAAGGAACCGAACTCTGCCAACTCTGAACACCAGAATGTTCAGCAAATTTAAGAGACACTGAATAAAGTTTGGGGAATATCCGATTTAAAGGGAGTTAGAGAAACAAAAGGGTTTCGGACTACACGATTAAGGCCAAAAATAAAATCTGGATTTTTCCTCTAAAAACTCGATTTTTGTTTTTTGATTCAGTGACAACTTCACCAAACTTCACTTTAATAAGAAGTTTTTCTATCATCTCTCAAAACGAAACCACTGAAAACGATGTAGTGCATATGCCAAGCCAGTAAGTGGCGCTGTAACGCTGCCAAGAAATTGCACAAAAGACAGAAGAAGAGTACAGAGCATGCGTATGAACCATAGACTGTATATAGAATAGACGCTGTCTGTCGCCTTGCTGGGTGAAGCCACTCTGAGAACAGCACCCTCTGTTGACGGGCTGCAGTATAGGTCATAAATCCCGCCTCCTCCAGCAATCTCTATGGAGCTGTGGACAAACTTTAGAAATTTATTACACAGGGCATTAATGTTCCTCCCCCCTGGTTGTGATGTTGACATGTAGTTACTGTCAGACTAGTTTGTGCTCAAGTCCTTTTTTTTCTTTACAGCTCGGTTTTTAAAAGTTATTAGGGGGTTCATGTTTTCTATGATTGACACCTGATACAGCTTATGGGCGTACGAAGATTGCGTAGCTCACCCGGGGGATACGCTGTTTGAGACATCCCTCTGTGGAACCAAAGTCAGAACTATCTCGGACACTAACCTCCAATCAGAGCTCAGTTCAGTTTATTCATGAGTTTCCCAAACGAGGAAACTGCGTCTGTTTATTTAGATGCAGGTCACTCCCATTCAAAAAGGCCAAAAACACTTACGTTCTGGAAAACAGTGTATTATACTAGGACCACAGAAAAACACAGATGAGGAGTGGACATTATCTAGAAATGAAAGCAGCGACTAATATTTGGAAAAGACGATGAAACGAACTGATTGAGATGTGACTCCTATGTGGTTTTAGTTCCCTACATAACTTCCTGTTTGTGGTGCATGTAAAAAAATACAAATCTGCTCTCACAGTCGGTGGAGGCATGTCTCGTTATGCGATATAATTTCTCTTTTTCATTGCAATAAACTCTCGGGGTGCGTTTGGAGTGAATGCTCATAGTGCACTCAGCTAAAATGGTGATTTATTGTGCAGACTGAACTGGAAAGCCGGCTGTCACTGCAGATGCCTGCCAGGCCTGAGCGGTAACTTATAGCAGCAGATTAGTGATTAGACTCAGTCGTAAAAATTATAGCTTTAATCTTAAAGGTTTTCTTTTTTTTGCTCGTCATAGCTGAAGAGAGTAAGGAGAGACGTGCAGCGAAAGGTAGACTTAAATCAGCGCCCACTTCAAACCACTTTAAACTGCATATACTGATAGAAAAGGGGCCAAACACCTTCGAGAGTCTTCTTTAGGTCTTAAGAATACCAATCTCGTATTAAACAAAGCTGACACACAGATTTAACTTTTAACTTCATGATTAACAAGCTGCTGCTCTTTGGGAAAGAGTTCTTTGTTTTTTTAAACTTCAAGAAATTGTTGAGCTTCCCAAGAGAGAGAACAAAAGTCAAGAAATTACAATAAACAAGGAGGAACCAGACAAAGACAAGACAACAGTCAGTCTGATCGTGAAGAGCTACAGACGCTACGATTAGATTAATCTAAATGCAGGAGCTGCAGCAGAAGACGAGCAACCTTTACAGCAGAGTACGAAGACAAATGCAGCAAAAACACGTCTGAGAGGAAAGCAGAAAAGTTTCCTTGACAGTTTGGGAGTGTTTCTTCATTCTTCAAGCCATCAGTCGATCGTTAAATCTACTGTTAGAGCTCCATTTAGAGACAAATCTAAACTTAAGACGGATTTATCAGTCAGATGATTACAGGCACTCTGACTAAATCAGCGTCCCAGCAGCATCGGCCCTCACAAGGACACATGCGGCCTGTGTGACGGTCTCAGAAAGTTCGAGTTAGACTGTTCAGACCACAGGAATGGAAAAAAAAAAAACAATGGTTGTTTCCAGGCGAATCTGTGGAGTGACCTCCTTGTTTTCACACATTTGTTCTGGTCTTTATTCAAGCATAGGGGGGAAGTTTAGCAAGAGAAGAGCTGTCATGGCTGCAGGTCAGCTGTTTTATCACTAGGTAACATCAGACGATGGGAAATACTCACAGCCACCTCTGTGCACCTACCGCCGCTCAGCTGGGGTCCATGTGTGAAAGGGAAGTGTGTCTCAATCCCACATTACTTCATGTATTAAACCACAAACTCATGCAGACTGATGTAAAACCACCTCGTGTTTAAATGCAGCGATGAGACGTCTCGTTTCGATTCGGTTTGAGTGAAATTTAGCGACTTTAAAAACTCAGAAAAGTTTGAAACAAAGGTACTGTCGACAGATTAGTGAATTTGTCGGTTTAAACTGTCGCCATCAATCAGTTTGATGATAAAATTTCACTCAAAACTCATGAGACGTGGTTTGTTGTCTTGTAGGCGCTGAAGGGACGACTTTCTCCTGGTTTAATTTTGAGAATCAGACCGTTTTCTTTTCTGAAAGTGAATAATGAGCCTAATTCCTCTAAAAAGCTCAGGTGATAAAGAACAAAAGCTTGTTAGTTCGCTCCCTGACTCCTCTAATTCATCAGACTCACTAACTTGGCCTGATTAGTTCTCCTGATGAGACTTTCTCTTATTATCGGCTTTTCAATAATGCCTGTGTACTTCGCCTCAAAGTCAGAATGAACCATATTGGAGGGAGCGGGGAATGGGTTGCGGTTCCTTACTTAAGCTGAAAAACACACTCAGCAGGCGCAGAGGTAGCGAGCGTGCTCAGATAACCCCGGGGCGACTGCCAAAGCCTCAGGTAGCGGTGATCTCTTTCTGTCTCCCCATGCAAGCAGAAATCTCGCTAATTTGGCCAGCCAACCCCGCAGCTGCAGCTCCAATCGAACCCGCCGGTGTTTTTAACATCACTAAGAGGGATGAAGTTTCTCGACAAGTCTGGTTAAGAGCGTCCGTTTTTAAGAGAGTGCAGAAGAAGAAGAAATGTACGGCTCTTGATGAAGGGAGACAAGAACAGTTAAGGGCGAGTAGAGGAACTGATGTGCTTTAAAGACGAGTTTAAAATAGAGACAGAAAAGGTAGAAAGGAGGCGTGGGCGTTTGGAAAGCGCACGGATGAAAGACGGGTTTAGAGAAGGAGGCAAATGAAAGCGAGAGCGCGAGATGAATGCGTGCAGTTGTTATCCGCACCGCTGTAAAAGCCCTCGTTTGGCGGTCTCAGCTCGCACATAGACTCGCTCCCGTCTCCCAGGAGCCGAGCCGCGTCTCTCGGTGTGTTCAAGGGTTTTTACCTTAGGGATGCGAGCGATGATATCGGGGTATTTGCTGGTGTTGTCTTCCTGGTTGCGGCTGAAAATTCGAACCTCGCCGTTCTCCAGGATGTGAATCTTGAGGGAGAGTGAAAACAAACACAACAACAAATAAATAAAGCATCACAAAATAAGAGATCTGATGATTCTGATGGATGAGTTTGTTATTAATGCATGACGTGAACTAGCAGTGGGAGAAAAAAACGTTGAAATTAGACCAGCATGAGGTGAACAAGGGTAATTGGTGATGACAGTGAGTACAGTTTTCTCATGTTCATTGCGAGTTATTGGTGTATTAAGTATGAAACTATCAACCAAGCTGCCACCTATTTAAAAAGGACGGCCATTTTTAGCTAAATCACTTTATAGAAGTCACAGGAAACTGTTCCAACAAGATCCAAAATTCGCGCCCTCCTGCTGGGCGCCTCGCTCTGACTGTGAATCGCTGTTGCAGACTTATGATGCCGGTGCTATTTTTACGCCGTTTCTCAGACAACACTTCACAGAACTCTTTAATGTATGAGGAAGTCACTGCATTTCTCACAGCGGCGCAACCGTTTCACAAACAGCAGAAACTTCTGCAGTCTTTGTGTTTTGTTATTTAACATTAACTGACAAACGCTTTCAGAGTGGCTGCAGCCATCATGATGCTGTAGTACCAAATTATAACTGTGTCCTAAATAAATATGTCTAAGTAATTGATATGTAAGAGCTGCTTAAAAGCCTTTATAGCAGAAAAACATAAGACTCTCTCTATGGTGTCCCTGAACTGAATATCACAAGTAAAAATTCAACGAGCAGATACCTTTCAGTGACTACACCCAAGCAAAGCACCCTCTAAACGCCTTTGTGGTGAATTAAATGTAAACAAAGAGTTCTTTGGATGTCCTTCCACTGAATTAAATGTCAAAAAAGTGTTCTCTGGATGAATTCCTGTGAATGAACTGTAAACAAAGTGCCCCCTGAGTCCCCTTGTGATGGATAAAATAAAAACAGAATATTCTCTTGATGCCTTTCAGCGTATAAAACCAAAACAAAGCGCCCTCCAAATGGATAAAATGTAGTACCCTCTGGATGCTCCTCTACTGATTTAAATGTAAACTAAATACACTCCGGATGCCTTTCCATTTGTGTAAATGTAAACAAGGTGCTCCCTGGGTGCTTTTGAAAGTATAAAACTCAAGCAATGTGCCCTCTGGATGTCCTGGTTAAATGTAAACAAAGTACCCTTTATGTCCCCTCTGACTGGACGAAATGTAAACAAAGTGCACTATGGATTCACTCCCACTCAAAAAAATGTAAACAAAGTGCTTTTTTATTGGATGTCCTTTCACTCAATTGAACGTAAACAAAGTGCTTTTTCATTGGATGTCCTTCCACTCAATTAAATGTAAACAAAGTGCTCTTTTTTGGATGTCATTCTACTTAGTTAAATGTAAACAAAGTGCTTTTCTTCTGGATGCCCTTTCACCTAATTAAATGTAAACAAAGTGCTCTTCTTTGGATGTCCTTCCACTAAAATAAATGTAAACAAGATGCTTTTCATTTGGATGTCCTTCCACTCAAATAAATGGAAGAGCATCCAATACAGACGCTTTGTTTACACCTAGTTAAGTGTAAACAAAAGGCTATTTTAAATGGATGTCCTTCCACTCAATTCAACGTAAACAAACTGCTCTTTGGATGCCCTTTCAGTTGATTTAATAGAAATAAAGTACCCTGTAGGTCCTCTTTAAGAAGATTAAATGTTAACGTACCCTCAAATTCTGGAATTCTATTATTTACACAGATTATAACTGAAAATACACAAAGTGTAAGATCCAACCCAGGTGTAATATATTTTAGTTATTTGTAATGTTTTATCAATTATTGACTTTGGGATGTACATGGATCACTGAAAAAAAACAGTCCTGTGAAAACAAGGATCTCTTTGATTTTTGGTTGTGCGTTTCTTTGCCAGAGTTTGTTGGGTTTGATTTCGTGCTCTGCCCCCTTTCTCAGTTGAGGCATTCGGAGGCCAATTATAGAAGAAGGCTCTGACAGTGCTTTAGGTGTGAATTCAAGAGGCTAATCTGACTTTTCTGTGAGAAGATAAAATCACAGGGAGTTTCACAGATCTATCAGAGGGGTAAAAATCCTTAAAGATGATGAGATGACTAATGGCAGCATGCATTTGGGAACACTTTCTACCTTTCAACAGGGTTGGCGGGTATTTTGTTTTAACCTTTCAATAGCTATGTTGCAACAGGCTTTGACACCGCACTCACAGGTTAATGTCTATAGCACATCTGAGAAAAAGGGAGGCTCATCCTGTAAAAATACTCGGCACCAAACATAAAGGTCATGGTGGGAGGGAGAGACTTCTGAGTCATACAGGTCCACTGGTCACCAGGACTGTTATAATACCAGACATTAAGCTTTGATTTGAAAAAAGTGCTATAAAAAATTAAAAAGTGTCTAAAGGAGGCAGAAAAATAAAGCCGTGAGAGGTAGAGCCATTACACCGCGCTGAAATCTCTCCCTTTTTAAACCGGTGAAAAGCATGTTGAGTTTGCCTCTTGAAAGATTGTTATTCGTCCTTCCTTTTCAGGTGCAAGGTTGTGTAGACCTGCCTGTTTATATACCGTTAATTGAAATCCATCCCATGAGTGTTATCATTCAGTTTATTTACAAAGGCAGTATGAGCTCACTTTAACTCCTGCTGCATTCGTAGAAGGTAACATCCCCTCTTTCTTTACTTTAGGTTTGTGCTATCTTGGTATGTTTGCAAGTTTTTCACATCCTGACTCAGAGTTTGGGCGACAGTGTTCACTTATAAAGCTTTACTTTGAAATTCCATGAAAAATTAATGCTTATTTTGTATCATTACTCAACGTTTGGAGACCCAGACTTCTCGTTTCTGGAGAATCCTAAAATAGAATTTCAGCGGCTCAGTTCAAGCTCTCCTTTGTCATTTCATGATGCGCCAAATGTTTTCAGTCGGTGACAAGTCGGGACAGCAGGCAAAGACTGTTTATTTCGAAGCCATGCTGTTGTTACACATGCAGAATGTGGTTTGGTATTGTCTCGCTGAAATATGCAAAGCTTTCCATGAAAAAGGCATTGTCTGGATGGCGGCATATTTCCATCCAAAACCTACAGAAATTGTTCAGTGTTAACAGAGCCGACCCAGATGTGTGAGCTACCCAGATCATGGGCACTTATGGATCCTCGTACCATCAGGGTGGTCTTTAAACTGGAGGATGTGGAGTTCAAGATTTCGAAACGTTTCCTAGTTCACTTCAGTCTATCTGAGCTTGGACCTGGATTCATGATTGCAGGAACAAACTGTTTCATAAAATCGGTTTTGAGACCATGCAGTGACTTCTACTACAGAGTCGTGTTTTTTTTTGATGCAGCGCTTGGTTCGGGGATTTACTCTGAAACTGTTCAACTATTTGCTCACGCAGTCTCTCACAGACACTCAGACTACGTTTGCACACCACTACATTTTCAGATAAGTTTTCGTTGACGCTAACCCGTGTATATTTGCCGTCAAGAGCATGCCAAACCTGGAGGTGGCAGTGTAGCAAGAAACTCAAGCTCACGTTAGCTAATCAGAATCCCGCATAGCAGCAACAACAACAACACATCCCTTTCTTCTCCGTTTACATGCAAATGCAACTAACGGCGTTTTCCAAAATCTCCACTCTACCCGGAGTTTTTAAAAAAACAGCATTTTCAGGGGAGATTTCTTTGTTTAGGTCTACACGAAGGGTGCAAACGATGGTTAATGTCTCCGCTTTTAAAAATAACCAAGTAAGTATAAACCTCAGCCTCACTTGAATCATCTTTTTTATACCTAGTCATGTTGCAAACCTGTTGCAAATTCACATAATTATCTGGTAGATGTTCCTCCAGACAAAACTGTATCCAGTCTTTTGTCACCCTGTTTCTGACACGGATCTCAAATGTTTCCTTAAACTCTATTTGCACCATTTTAAATCAAATATTGTGTTCAAAATGAGGAGCAAACCTCCAAACTCTGTTTTTATCAATATTCTACCAAACTTTGAAGAAACTCTTGCGATAAGATTAACCTTTCTGGATATGTTGTTTGACTACATTTGAGGAAGAGCAGTACATTTTTTCCCACTATGTTGGATTTGTTTTAAAATAAAAAAAGGAGTTCGTCTGATAAATAAACTCATAAAGTACAAAGAAAACACACCATCACTCACCCCGATGACTAGATGAGACTCAAAACCCCCAATGAATATATCTGCACTTATTTTGATTCATCGCTCGGCACACTTGCACACACACACACACACACACACACACACACTCTCTCTCGGTTATTCACAAAACTGAACACACACACACGCACACTCACAGGGGGGGATGTTTGGCAGAACGGCGTGCCAAGAGTCCCCCTGCTGGTTGTCGGAGGTAAAGTCCACTGCAGTGACAGCAAAGAGAAAGAGAAAGGGAGGGAGGAGGAGGACGTCATGGGTCTCTCTCTCTTTCTCTCTCCTTGTATTTCTCTCTTTGCTCATCTTCCTTCTTCTCAATTCAACTCAGTTCAAAGGCACTTTATTGGCATGACTGTCCAAAATTAACAATACAGCTGGAGGGGTTTACATTACAGTCTCTCGCTTGCTGTGTCTCTTTATGTCTCCCTCTCTAACTAAATTTCCCCAGCCCCTCCGCCGGCTCCCGTTGTGTCTTTAAGTTCCTCTCTCTCTCTCTCTCTTTTATGTTTCTCGCCTCTCTCTCCTCACCTCTCCTTCTCTCTGGTTCACAATGGCAGAAGTAGCTTGCTCTGCTTAGAGGCCCAGGGCAGAAGCAGCAACACTGTTTATCTTTAAAAAAAAATAGGCACAGGCGCACACGCACACACACTCACACAGGATACTAAAATATCCACGCAGCAGGAGTCACAAGGTGGCAATACCTCACGCTGAAAGAACACAGCCGAAAGGTATATGCAAACGAAATTCAGCTGGCATATGTTCGGCGCCAAACGCAAGAAAAACAAACAGTTGCTCTGTCACTTTGCCACCAAAATACACACATATAAACACACACACACATACCTGCGCACGCTCGCCGTCGTATTTGTACTCGCAGGTGAACGCCGCCTCGTCGAACCTCTTCATCACCTCGCCCACGCCCTTTGTGGGGTGAGCCAGCATGGGTCTTAGCGGCACTCCTTGCAGAGAAAAAAAGAAAAAGAGTAAATCAAGGAAGTTATCACCGTGGCAACCACATGTAAGAACACGAAGCCATGCATTTTTAATGAATATTTAACAGTCGCGACGCTAATTGTGAGAAGTTTCTCTCGAGCAGGAAAGGCGCTAACAGGCCTGGAGGTCGTGAGAGTGAGAGTGAGGCAATTCTTGGATCAGCGTGAGAAAAAAATATATATATATATGTATGTTTAAGCGTTAGGAGGAAAAATTAGTTTCAATGACACATTCCCACATGACACATCAGCCCAACACCCACAACAGTTTTTCTGTGACAAAACCAGAGTCGAAAATGAGTTTGTTTGTAGTCTCATTTGGCCGTAATATGAAAGTCTTCTGACTAACAATCCCCTTGGGCTCCGCTGCTAAGTTAAGCTTAAAAAGAAGCAGAGGAGTGTTATAATGGAATATACCAAACAAATTGCTTTAATTGCAGCTTACAGAGCATGGAGCCAGACATGGGAGGACAGACGCTCTCTGTCCAAAACTGGCTGGTGCTCTCTGAAAAAGCAGACCGGCTCTTCTTGTTTTTACATTTAGGAACAGAACATCCCTCTCTGTGCACAAAAACAATTGTTAAGCTGCCAAAATAGCTGCTAGATTTGTCTAACTGACCAACAAGGGCCAATTTACTTTCCCGATTTAGTAGCATTCAGATGGCGGCTGGTATTAATTTCCTACTTTGGTGCCAAGGCTCCTTATCACAAATAGCTTGACAAGAGTGTAATTGGGAGCTAATCCTTAGTTTAGAGGTATCTTTTATCTTCAGTGATAAATGACTCAACCAAAATAACTGACTCACCTCCACGGAGGGGATCGATAAAACACACACCAGCCGCAGTTTGGGAACTTATAGCCTCCCTGCGCCCTGATTGGCTGCTTACCTGGAGTGAGCTTGCAGTGATTGGGTAGCTCGTCTATGCCCTCTTTTAGGAGAACGGGGATAAGGACGTCGTAATTGGGCATCTCGCTGCAAAGGGAGAAAGCGGGGAGATGAGGCGGGGTGTTCGGGAAGAAAAACAACCAGGAGAATCAATACGGTCCAAAACGAAAGTGAGAACAATGAGTGAGTGAGAATGAGGGACGGAGCTTAAGGGGGGGTGAGGCATCGTAGAGGAGTCGAGGAGAGACTGCAAAGTGGTTCAAAGGGAGTCAGGAGGATGAGGAGGAGGAGGGGGGGAGACGAAGGGGGTGTTAGGATTCAGTTACCAGTAAGTCTGTTTGAGAATGAGACTCTTCTCTTCGATCCAGGCCCGCCTGCTCTCTGCGCTCATCCCCTTCCCGGCGTCGATCACAGCGGGAGGAAAAGCTACGAGGCAAAAGTCGGAGTTTTGAGAAAAGAAAAAAAAGCATTTCAAACAGATCTGCGTAAGCGTTTGAACATTTGTGTGACACATCGAGTCGGATGAGAGTTCAAGGACTTCAAAAGGAGGGAAACATACACGACTTATTTAAACAGCGCGGGGACTTATTTACAGCTCAGTTTTTTGGTTTATTTATTTATAGATGTTAGAACATACAACACAAAGTGCTAAACACACATGGTAAAAATAAAAACGTAGGGGCGCGCAGATGGCTGAGCGGGTTAGCGCAGAGCCGGCCCAAGGCATAAGCAACCTAAGCACCTGCTTAGGGACCCGCGGCCAGTAGGGGGCCCCCAAGAGCAATCAAAAAAATACTTTTCTTTTTTTTTGCATGTATGAGTGATGCTGTCTGTATGATCAAAAATATATTATTGGAAAAATAAAATAAAATATTTTAGTGACAATAGGGAGACATGGCATGACACTGAGAATTCAGGAAGCGCCATCTTTGGGGTCCTCCACACTGGGAGGAGTCTGTGCCACAGGGGGCACCAGCACCCAGAACCCCCTGACCCTGACAGACAACAGGGACCCGGGGACAGCTCCCAGTGTGGAGGACCCCCCTTAAGGAAAAACTGGAGTTAAAACTAAAACCTGGAAAATAAATAGAGCTTGAACAGTTTAAAAGGATAAAAATACAAAAGATAATAAATAAAAAAGTACCAATTATTGGTAAAACAAGTAAAATTATTTAAGATGAATATAACCTTAGAAAACAAGATATATATTGTTTTTACATCGGGAAAATTCAAGTTCTCAGTGCGGCTGAGAGAATAAGCTCCACGACTATTTTGTTCGCTGGTTAGACATTAATAATTACCATCTCCATTTCTGAAATATTACTGAATACTAATTCATCATCCTGAATAATTCATCGCAATGACCGACCTCCCGCTCAAGACAGAATTTGCTCTGAGTTGACCCGCCTGATTAAATAATGGTTAAATAAATAAATAAAAATGTTCGGGAAAACATTACCATACCTGGCCACAGATTAATGCAGATTCCCCCGCAGAGCCCCCCGCTCTAATTGAGACTTATCAAAGCATACCTCCCAGTCATGAGGAAGGTAGGAATACTAATAAAGCCAGGAAGGGGTTTGTTTAATTAGGTGTAAGATGTGTTCGGCGACAGCAGGTCTGATAGGTGCTGAAAGCAGCTGGTGAGAGACGAACTGTCAGAACTTTGAAGGATCGAGGTGTCGGTTCCTCACGGGTTTGTTTTTAAACACGTTTGTGAAGAAGTCGCATATCGGCTTAAATTCAACGTTTGATGTTCGAGATTTCATCTACAACTATTCCTGTGACGACAGAATATTTTATCGCTCTCTTCTAACAAGCGCTCTAAAAATAAAACTAATTTTAACCTGCTCCGACACCCAACCTGTCTCACCTCCGAGTGTGACCTCCCGAGTGGGTTTTCTTTTAGTTTTAATTTTATGACACGATAATTCCATCACATCACAAGGTACACCGCCGCTTCATTAATACAACCTGAAGATAAAAAAGTCGGAAAACTTTGAGTAAAGTGAGGAAGCTGAGAAGAGAAACGGCAGAAAAAAAATCAACAAAGTTCTTGTGTTTTCATCAGTTTGAGCCGAACAAAGCCTTTCATTTTCTATCCCAGATCGATATAATGAGAGGACGTAATCACAACCCCTTCTGATGAATACGTCTTTGCGTCCTGATTGTCATTTATTGAGCTTGTGAAAACGACAACTCTACATCTATCTTTGCCTCTTCATACAATTCAGGCAGGCTCCGAAATTAATCACAAATTGTTTTGCTGTTATTCATATATATCATTTTATTAAGATGATAAAGGTTGGATACAAACGGAAAGAGTGAATAACTGAACTAAATAACAGTTTTAAAAGACTGAACTTTATTCATGTGAGAAATAATTATCTCTCGATGTTTTCTGACCTTTGTGATGACGCCTCGTCATGTTTCATAAATAAACTCGCCTCGTCTTTGAAAACATGTTCATCTTCCTCAGACTCTGTGTTATATTCCCACATCGCACATGTTTGATGATTAAACTAAATCAGTCTGACGTCTGATATCAAACCGATACATCCGTGGTAGCTGCCAATATGTCCGCGTGTTTGACTCAATATCTCCTTTGTCTAAGCTCGCCGAGAAAATGATCCGCAGATTTTATTTCCATCCTTTCTCGTCGAAAGAGAAGAAAAACAGACGAATAACCAACATTCATCCTCAGTGTTGATATCTTGCTTTAACGACAATCGTGAAAACATCTCAGGACAGACAGATTGTGGAAGTTCAAATCAGAGGGTCTGTGTGATTGGCGGCCAACGGATTTCCGTTATTAAATGAAAAAACGAAAAAGAAAAAAACTCCAGACGACCAGTAATGAATCTTGAGACGAAAAATGTTTTGATCATAAAAATCGTAGAGTGAAAAAACAACTCAGTATTTGACTTCCTGTGATGTGGCTTTAAATTTAAATCCAAGGTAAAAATATGTGCAAAGAAATCGTGTTTCAAGTTTCACTCACTTTTTTGTTGTGACTTGAGAGTTTGGAGCGAGAACGTTGCTCCCGCCAAGATGGCTCCCACGTAGGTACGTCACTCAGGGGGCTGCTACAGCGCGCTGGCGTATCTAGTCTTCTACCTATCTATATATCTGTGCTACTGAGAGCCAAAGTCTCGCTTCAAGTCACAACAAAATAGTGAATAAAACTCCAAACACAAGATTTCCGTGCACGTATTTTGATCTTCGATTTCCACTTAAAGCCACATCACAGAAAGTCAAATACGGAGTTGTTTTTTTATTCTCCAATTTTGATGATCAAAACGAAAAATGAAAAACAAACTGATTCCTTGCTGGTCGTCTGAAGACAGCTCGTCTCCTGAATATTTAGAAAACAATTTGTTTTCTCGTTTTTTTTTTTCATTTTCGGTTTTATTTAGAAATATGATTAATGAATGATTTATACACGGATTTGCTTGTCTCATTATTTCATTTGAAAACAAAAATTCGATGGCTGCCAAGTACACGGACCTCAGTGCATCAGTGCAATGCACATCCAAATGCAGAAATATACTCGAGTTAATTCAAGGACAGTTTAGCGGTGTGTGAGGAGCCTGTCAGCTCTAATCTGATCCGAGTTTAAACACGGCAACAACAGATGTGATCATGAATGTATGCGTGTGTTCAAATATATGAATATATTTGTGAACCTCCTGGTGGAAATGTGAAGATTACCTTGTCCAGGGGGGGTCAGACACACAGCCTGGCTCAGAGCTGAAAGGACACTCTGCTCAGCCAGTCCGATCCTCAGCTTTCCAGCCAGGGACCTGTCAATCAAAAGCCAAACACTGTAAGCTTCAGACGGCTGTTCACGCCGACCGTCCACAGAGCGAGACAGAAAAGGAGGTGAGAACACTCTGCAGTATTTCTGCGTCCGTGAACATGCAGGCATGTGTGTCCATGTGTGTGTGCGAGCGAGTGTTATTTTACCTGACGATGTAGCGAGCCTCAGAAAAGCGGCATGCCACAAAGAGGCCTTTGATGATGTCGATTTTCTTATTCATGGCCTGAGGCGGGCGGCAGGAAATTGAGATTCACCGAAGACGAGCGAGAGGAGACAGAATGCAAAAAGACTGAGGTCACCAGCGAGTACAAACTCCTTGTTCGAACCAGAGAGAGAAAAAAACAGTGAAAATAAAATAACAAGACACTGTAACAGCGGGGATGAATTCTGAACTAATTGCTTCAGAGATTCCAGCCGGGTGAGGACTTGATTCGCAGGCTGAAAATTTGCCTTTGAAGCGGACAAACAAATAACACTCTTCTCTTCTTCTCTTCGACATACAAACACATTAACATTTCCTCCCTTTTTCCCTCCCTGACCTCTGCGCTGGGAGGCAAATCGAGTGAAAACAATATTTTCCCAGGACTGCTTTCCCCAAATGAAAATGTTATTCTCTGGCTCACCGAGTTCCCACTCATGCTGGCAATTTCCTTCAATTTTCTGAACACGCCCCCTGCTGTCAGGCTGGCCGGTTGGAACATCATACGCTGGTTGCTACGGGAACTCTCGGCCACGAGGCCCAGATCTCCTTTCTCCTGCGCCTCTGCCTTGATTTTGTCCAATTGTCGCCCTGGAAACAAAAGCGAGGCCGTAAATGGCAACCACGTCGCTGGTTGATGAGCTAAGGAGGCTGGAATTAGCCGTTAGGCAGGGAATGCACAGGCGGGTGTTTGGGTGCAACAGTGCGCGGTTGTGTTGGTTAATGTGTGCAAGACGATTACCGGTCGCTTGAGCAACAGCTTTCATCAGCACCGTCTCTCCAACGCCGAGCTCCATCCCCAGGTGAGCGGGACCCAGCTGGTTCAGACACAGGTACACACAGCACAGCAGGTCATCTGGGAAAAGTAACACACACACACACAGACACACACACACAGACAGACATAAACACTTCATTTATTACACAGAGCACTTGAGCATGTCTGACACACACACAGACTGAGGGTCGACTAATATCAACTCGACACCAGCTGATGACGAAGCTGATAATTACAGAGCAGGTCATTAAAATCACTTTAATTATCGGGATTTTTTTGCGTTTGATCAAAAACTAAAATGAATTAATAACAAATGAGAAACAAAATTACTGTTTGAGTGAGATTTTTGTTAAATAATCGGTGTTGGCTCAATAAAAATGTCGCCACAAGAGACTTTTGGATTCATGTCCGGCCATCTGTGATTAACAAAATGTAAAAAAAAAAAACAGGGGGAATATTTGGGCTCGAAAACAAAATCCTGCACAGTTTCATTACAATCCCATATCTGTGGTTGTATTATGTGTGAGTGTGTGTTTGTGTGTCTGAAAAGCAAAGGGACGGAGTGAGCGTGACAAGAGAGACCCTGTAGTGATCAAGAGTGTGCACGAGAGTTACCATGCTGACGACTGCTGAGATAAACAGTGACACTAATCCATCAGAAAATAAGATATCAGCCTAAATGTTGAAGTATGAAGGTGAGTGATGTTGGATCTGACACCTGTGATTGACTGTAACTAAAGAAAGAGCTCAGAGGTTAGTATTATTATTATTATTATTATTATTATCAAATCAAAGTTAAAACTCTTAAATTTTAAGGATTGATTATGATTCTTGCTGTCCATAGTTAATCTGCCCTATTTAAAGCTCCTGTGAGGAACTTTGGATTTGTGTTGAATCTGGCGCCCCCTGGTGGATAAAGTGTGTTTGTTTATCTTGTCTGCTGTATACTTGAGTATTGATCATGGACTGTGTATAGAATGGACGCTGTCTGCCTCCTCGCTGAGTAAAGCCACCGCGAGAACAGCACCCTCTGGTGACGGGCTGCTGTATGGGTCATAAATCCCGCCTCCTCCAGCAATCCCTATGGAGCTGTGGAGATTTATTTAGAGACTTTAGAGATTTATTACACAGAATATGAATGTTTCTCCCCTCTGGTTGTGATGTTGACATATAGTTACAGTAAGACTGGTTTGTGCTCGAGTCCTCTTTTTTTCTGTTTTCGGTACAGTACGTAGACTATCTAGGGTGTTTTGTTTTGCTTTATTTTGTTTTGTGTTGTAGGTCTGGTTTGTTTTGTAAATTGTTGCTCCACTGCATTTATTTTTTGTTGTTGTTGCTGTTTGTAAGGGGGGAAAAAAAGACTGGGCAGATACTGATAAATGCACATATGTTGTTTCTCTTATCAGTGTAACTGCAACGAGGTAACAAGTGTTCATTTGTGTTTGTCTGACATAAACATGAATTAAAAAAATCAACAGCCAACACATGTTTCAGATCTGATTTACAGGAAAAAGAAACGGTATTGAGGGAAATCTCTTAAGAACAATAAACGCAAAAGCAGATCAGAAAAATAGAAACAGAAAAAAACAAACGCCAAAGAGAAAGACATAAAAATAGAAAGCTATACAACAGACGCACCAAAGATAAGAAGACACTAATCAAACACAAAACAGACGGACAGAAACACACACATGCATAGACACGCACACAAAATATATGAAAACCGAGTGAAAACACACAAAAACAGAAACCAGAAAACCAGAAAACCACCACACAAACACACACAACCGAGAATATTTGGACGACTGAAACTGAACACATGAAAAGACATTTACCGCACAGACACACACAAACACACACTCTCCACAGACACACACTCAAAGATGGCCACACACGCTCACAAACTCCAGCCAGAGAAAGGCTGAACATAAACACACACACACACACACATACACACACACGTGTCTCTGAAATCCCTCCGCTACATGCTTATACACAGATCAACAAATGTGCATACTCTCTCACACACACACGGACACACACACACACATCAATGAAGTGACTCATCCTCCCACTTTTATGTGCAGCCTGGCTTCATCATCATCTCCTTGATAGAGTGGCTGGCAGCCAGCTGCCTGTGTAGCTACATCAGCATGCATTATGGGAGAGATAAAATACCATTTACCTGGAGAGAGCAGCAGCACAGAGCGAAACAGGTTCGACAGCGTCTCGATGTTCCTCAGCCTGGGAAATGACAACGGGATTGCTTTGAGACAAGGAGGAAGAGTTAAACGAATTTTAAAGCCATCCTGTAAATACCGGGAGGCGGGAAATGAGATTTGTCTGGAGGTTTTAATCGGAAATGGAGGCAGATGAACTCTTCTTTTAGCAAACGCTATACATCAAGTGGAAGTGGTCGGAGGAAATACGAGTTATTACTGCCGTGTTTGCTCTTCTTTAATATCCTTAAAAGTTAAAAGAAAGTTTGTAAAGGTGATTTTGGTTTGTCGGTACCAGACTGAAAAGACTTTCTTTGAAAATTTACGATAACGAGTCCTGAAACTGACTTTTATACGTACAACTCCAATTAGAGAAGAGAAGAAAGAATTTAAAGAGACTCTGTGTTTGACTTTAAAAAGTGCAAAGAAAAAACAAGTCAAATGTAGAAACTGAAACTCTTAGAATAATGTTCTTCAGTGTAAAAATGTAAAGTAGGGCTGGGCGATAAACTGAAAATTTACTGATACCGAAATTTACGACAATAACTGACGTCTTTAAAAATAAATAAACAATTAAAACTTGGTTTTGGATGTGTGTAGGTAGGTTAAGGTCTCATGTCCCTTTAAGACTCTGTCCTACATCAGAGACGTGACTCCACCCCATCCAGTCCGTAACAAAGAGGGAAAGACAGGTGAGGAGATGGAGGACGGTTCAAAAGTTGTAGCGGCTGAAGTAGACGAAGTTAATGTGGGAGGGGGTGAGCAGCTTGTGGAGTAGTTAATCATCTATTTATCGTTATCGAGGTGAACTGCTCAATATATCGGGATATTGATTTGAGGCCGTATCGCCCAGCCCTACTGCAAAGACTTAAAAATTCACCATCTGCACTGAGAGATTTAGAGAAATCATCAAAGACAAAAACCAAAAACTAGGAGCGCACAAGAGTGATCTTCAGGTCTTACAGCTTTAAAAACAGTCAGGACTCGGTCGTGGGAATCACTGCATGGGCTCAAAAATCACAGACTATCCACAAATGCAGGTTTAAACTGTATCATGCAAAGATGAAACCGGATTTAGACATGATTCAAACCAAAATATTGGTGACTTCTCTGGTCTGAAAAATCAACATTTGGCTTTTTTCTTAGAAATCGTGGACAACACATCCTCTCCTCTGAACAGAAGCATCAAAAATACTTCCATAAACCTTTTTTTTTGCATCAAATTGTGTTTATCTGATTTATAAACCATCAAATTCTGTTTTTAAACTCTTTCCAAATCTCCCAAACTCGCACAGACGTCTCCAAAAACTCTCTTTCTGGTTTGGAGTCTCTTTCTTTAAAATAAGTCACGAGCAAAGTTTCTGACAGAGCTGCAGAGAATCAAAAGAATAAAACCGCCCATTAAATGAAGCCAAAGTGTGAGAGAACTGAAAAAAAACTAGTTAAAATCTCGGTGATTCCTCGAAAGTGACCTAATTGTAGAATTTCTTCATGTTCCCTGCCCTCCGCAGGAAATTAATCCAATTTCCTCACTTTCTCTGGCTGGAACAGGCGTCTCTAATTATGCTCCAGAAATTCCCAGCAGGGCGCTTGAACGGTAATTTTGTTAAAATGCTTTGAAATATATTTTATCTCTCAAACAGAGCAGGGATCACTTTTCCTCCCCACACTGTTTTTTTATGTCAATCTGGAGTTAAATAAACATCCTTACCCTCCATATGGAGCGCTTACCTGCCAGAGTCCTCTTCAATCTTCTCGAAGGTGCGCGCCACCGCCAAGTATGGTACTCTGGAGGGTGATGAGCATGTAGTTAGGCGGCGAAGCATCCACACTGACAGATTTTACACTCACAGAGTTACGCTGACTCAGCTGCTGGAGCAACTAGCAATTAGTGTGACAGTGGAGAGAGAGAGAGCTCCGATTCAGGGTAATCAAAACCTGCATGAAAGCCGCTGTTAGGGGGACAGAGGTCAGAGCGGCCTTGGCGGCGAGACGGCGTCATTAAAATGTTTGAAATGCAAAAAATTAAAACGATTCTGCTCGACACAGAGGTGGAAACCAACAGTGTTGTTTTTTTTCAAAGCAAAAAAATCCTGCGGAGCTTAAATTGTGTGAGTAAAATAAATCTCAAGGGCTTAGAAAGTCGAAGATAACCACTTAATAACTTTCTGTATTCGTTTATTTCAGCCTCTGTCTGCAGGAGCAGATGGGGTTTCTTATCCAGAGGAAATCTTGCTACTTAGCGGCGTTGATTCTGCTCTTGTTTGGTCCTCAGACGCGGAAACCCCTCTGTGAGTGACGTGTCGCTTCAGCAGCGAGCTCCTGCTCAAATATTAAAGACGCGGCAGAAAACACGGCAGCCAGTGCTGGGTAGTTGACCCGAGTGTACGCGGCGTGTCTCGCACCGTGACCTTGATGAAAAATTCCATAATTTTTCCATGACTCTCCATCACCGAGTCAGAGCTCTTCTCTGGGCTGAAAAATTTAACTACAGCCAGTTTCTCGCCTCTGCTTGAGATGGTCACTCAGAAAAACAACCAATAGAACGAAAAATGACGTCGGAGTCGGCTGAAAAACTTTCTGATGAATCTTGGCGACTATTTCCAGAAGTTTAAGGTGCAGAAATCTTAATTATAGGTGCATTAGCAGCTTTGATTTGTGCTTCTTTATTGGCTGGGAGTTAAACAGGTGACATAAAAAAATCAGATGATCATGTTGAGATATTTATGACCTCTGAAGGACCGATGGTTAAAAAAATAAACAGACAAGCAGGTATTTGGACCAGAAAAAAGGGTGAACTATTTCATCAATAAAGCTACAATCAGGGTTTTTTCTTTTTGATCTGATTACAAAGCAGAAGAAATTTAACCCAAAATCAGAAGATCAGCAATGTGCAGATTTGATGCAGACGTGTAGCTCTTTCTACGATCTTCTGGAACCTGCTCAAACTTGATATTTGTGAGGTACCACCAACTCACACAAACCCTCTATGATGGTTACTTGTGGTCTGATATCCACGAGTTCTTCTACTGTGAATTAGTGCGTACATGAGACATCTATGTCTATGCTTTTTCTGACGCAGTATCTACTCACTCCTGTGCATGTCCAACCATGCAATATTATATCCAGCATGGTAATGTGAAAAATGTGAAACTTTATATTTCTGTGTAAGATGAAGAGGACACTTAAGCATTTTGCACTTCAATTTGCACTCGGGTACTTTTGTTATTCACCGTGTATAGTTACCATGGTAACCCAACTCGTGGCCCGTCTTATTTTTGGACTGTACGTCGTTTAAGTTTATGTACGCTGCTTGTCTTTCCATATGCTCTGTGTGTTTTATTCCTACTTTACTTTATGTGTTTTATGTGTTTAAGCTGGTTGTTTAAATCACCCCCAATTTCCAGTTAATTCCCATAATTCCCATGGAAAGTTTCCAATTTGGAATATTTACAAAATTCCCCAGCTCAACTTCCCATGAAAAGTTTCTGGAAATTTACCAGAAATTTTCCGCCCCTTTGCAACCCTAATCGTACGTAACAATTCCCAACCGCTTTTAGCCCTCATGTGATCTCATGTGACCCGTGAATGTGCTGTAAAGCGAGTTTGCAGCGTCAGAGTGACCCGAACTTACTTTTGGCCCTGCTTCCAGCAGGCATGATCAACAGGGTGGTACTTGGACCTGGAAGGATCGTAGTCCGTCTGTCCCGAAGCCGACTCTCTGAAAACAAAGACAAGAGTCGAGTATTAGTGACAGCGACAGATTTCAGAGTCATAAAAATGAGAGACGCAGGAATGTAAAGAGTGTTTTGAAGGGCGAGTTAAAAGATTGACAGATTGCTACAGAGCGATTTTGAGCTTTGATAATAAACAGTTAGCTGTTAAAAAAAAAAAAAGTTTAATTCATCCTTTAGAAATAAAAAGATTAGGTTGATTAAAAAGTTCTTTTTTTCTTCTGAAGGATATGTCAACTTCTCCTCAAACAATGAAGCAAAAACAAACTCTCTTTTCATTACAGGGAGACGCTGTGAACTTTCCTTTGTATGCGACGCCAATCATTCCCACACACACACACACACACACACACACACACACACACACACACACACACACACACACACACACACACACACACACACACACACACACACACACACACACACACACACACACACACACACAAAGAAGCAGTGATAAAAAATAAATAGTTCTGGAGATGAAAAATGCATCTGTTCTCTTGTAGAGCTAAAAATAGCTGGTGGCTGAAATCGTTAACATGACCTCAAAATGACAAACGCGGTAATTCGCCGCAGCTGCTGCTCGGTATTCGTGTTTTAAGAGCAGAGCTTTAGTAATAAGACAGACTCGGATTGTGAGGAAGTTTAAGAACGATAAATAAAAAGACACGAGGAGGAAACTGTGACTGTTTCCAACACTACACTACAAACACTTTCAGTCACTAAATCTGTTTGCATCTGGAGATCAATCCTTCCAGCATTCTGGTTAAAAGACCTCATTTCAAATAAGTTTTCACTCCAATCTGTTGATATTTTTAATAAAATCTCATGATTAATGTTTGTACTTAAATCTGATGGGACTTTTTTTTAAACTTTATTTAAAAGTGATAGAAAGATAGTGTGCAAAGACGCCTTAAGAAACCAGAGAACAACAAATAAAAACTTTTAACTTGACAAAAACTTCGCTTAAATCCTCAAATATAGTTCAGGTCTTTTATTCACTTTTACTACAGAAGGTCACAAAAGTTTTTATGATGCGAGAGCCAGGCCTTCATATCAAAGTCTCTCTGTCTGATGATAATAGTTCTGATTTTAACATTATTCACAAAAAGATTGAGTCACTTTTATACTCAATTCTAGGGCTGAGTGATAAACCAAGAATTTACCGATACCAAAATTTACGTCAATAACCGACGTCTTTTTGCCCGTATCGGTAAATTTGGTGTCAAAAAAATCAATAAATAAAAGTTGGTTTTGGATGTGTGTAGGTAGACTATGGTCTCATGTCCCTCTAAGACGCTGTCCTACATCAGAGATGTGACTCCACCCCATCCAGTCAGTAACAAAGAGGGAAAGACAGGTGAGGAGATGGAGGACGGTTCAAAAGTTGTAGTAGCTGAAGTAGACGAGGGGGCTAAAGGGAGTGAGCAGCCTGTGGAGTGGTTATCGACTTTCAGTACAAACACTTTCAGTCACTAAATCTGTTTGCATCTGGAGATCAATCCTTCCAGCATTCTGATTAAAAGACCTCATTTCAAACAAGTTTTCACTCCAATCTGTTGATATTTTTCATAAAATCTCTTTTTGTATCCGTCTAGATCTGAATGCTCAGTCAAAGAGACATTTTTACCATCTGTGCTGGAGTATTTAAAAACTTAGTCATCCTGAGAAGACATTGTCTTTAAACATGACAAAAAGTTCGTTTGAGGAAGTTAACTGATTAGAAACTGTCCACCCATTCTCCATCACATCCTGTATGAGGAGAGAATTTAGTGCCGCCAGGATGAAAGCGCACAGATTGCAGCCCTGAGCAGCAGAGAGTTGAGACCATGTCCAGGAATTTCAGTCTGAATAAAACTAAAAACTAGAGCGGAGACGGCCCGTGGTTCAATCGTGGTGATTATGAGCTCATTAAGCTATTCACACATAAAAAGCACGGCCCAGGCCACAATAAGGGGTCCGAAGACAGGCCTTTATTTGAGGCTTTAGTACGGATCTGTTGCAGCTGAACTGATGAGGAGAAGAACTATCAAACCAGGAAGCATAGGAGGCTGAAAGTCCTGTGTTTTTGCCTGGATCTGGACTGTCCTGGTCCCGTGTCTGATCCACTGTCCCTGCCCTTCATTATCCGGTTTGATTTTGTTTGTTTGTTTTAATAGGAAACATCAGAAAATAAAACAACAGAAAACCAAATATCCAAAAACAGAACCTCAAGTCGAATTAGTTTGCTGTTCTTGCAAAAAGCATTCATGTACTCTATCACAGGGGTCAGAGGTCAATGTGAGACATGGATGAGTTCAGGGTTCAGAGCAAGTCACAGATAAACAAACAAGACAGACGGGTGAGAAAAACAAACATGTTTGTGGTCTGAACTCTCGGTATATCCCTGCTGTACTCTGCCTCACCCTTTTGTCTCTTTACTCTCCTCCTCCGTTGAAGTCTTCCTCTCTGCACTCGTCTTTTTCTCTCCTTCATCCTTCTCGGGTTTCTCTATTTTTGCTGCCGCTTTTCTGGGAGCTATAAGAACATAAAAAAAACAAACATATGGAACAGAAGGTGAGGAGGAGCCGAGTTTGGACCACAGCGATATTTTGCTGTCTTTTTGGAAGTGATAAAAGCGAAGCACATTTTTACGGACACGTTCTTTTATGCAAGCGCAGAGCTATGCAAATTCACCCCTCACCAAAGAAACTGCTGATGGGGGCTTTCTTGGGCGGCTCCTTATCTTTCTGCTCTTTTGCCTCTTTCTGTTTTTTCACCGTTTGACTTTTCGGGCTCCCTTCTCCTTCTCGCGTGTCCTTTTCAACCTCCTCCTTCTTGGCATCGGCGGGCCCTCTCTCATCATCTGTCTTCTCCTTCGCTGCGTTTTTCTTCTTCTTCGCCGCCCCTCCGGCTTTCTTTTCTTTCTCATCAGAGTCCCGTCTCTTGGCCCGCTCCTCCTCCTTGGCCTTCTCTTCTTCCGTTTTTTTCTTCTTCTTCTTCCCCTCCTCCTCCTCCTCCTCCTTCTCCTCGTCTGGGCTGTTAGCCTCTGTCACTGCCGTTTCAACTCCCTCTTCCTTTGCTCCCTCCTCCATGGGTTCAGCGGCGTCCCCTGCGAAGGGTGAGACAGAAAGAGAGAAGAGTCATTGAAGAGATAAATGCCAGCAGGTTTACTGAGGGCGACCCAGTTTTTTTGTGCGCCCCCTGTGTGAAGGTGGTTTTTGAACACAACAGCCTTCTTCAATGAAAGCCGCGGGTTATATTTTTTAGGTTTCCTTTTTGCCCGAGAGAGCCAGGTAAGAGAGAAATGACTATTGACAAACTTGTAGCACCGAGTCCCTGCAGAGCGAGCCGGGGTCATGATACCAGCTGAGAGAGAAACTAGACATGAAAGTTTAATTTTCTCATCCACAAGTTCGAATGACCGCGGGACTGGACTGCTACTTTTAACGCCGACTTTTGGATCTCTAACACGAGTTCAGAGAGAGAGGCCATTTCTCTGCCCACTCTGCTGCTGCTGTAGGTACACATGCTGCCAGAAATAATGCACTTCTGAGAATCTGAGCTGGAAACTCGGGAAGTTTACACATCCTAACAAAAAGAGCTTTTCTGAAGTCTGAATTTATCCTGATATATAAAAAAAGTTATTAGATGTGCACAAAGGTTAGTATTCTGACTCATTTAGATGGACTCTTTGGTTCAACCTTCAAACTTTCACACCTTTTAATACAGTCAAATACGACACAGACTTACTATCTGCACGTGGCTCGTTTTAACTCTGTCTCTTTGACTTATATCATTACTCGAGGTGTACCACAGGGTTTAGTATTGGGTCCCATTCATTTCTTTTTTATAAGCTGCCCTTTAGCCGCATAATTCAGCGTCACAAACTCTTTTTTCTTCCACTTCTAACGTTAACTCTGGTGTACCTCAGGGCTCAATATTGGGTCCAATTTAGTTTCTTTCCCTATGCTGCCCCTTCGCCAAGCAATTAAGCGCCAAGAAGTCTCCTTTCAAAGACCGTCAGGATGAGAGTGGATATTTTCCATCTTATCTAAAGCTGCCTCGTGTCTTTTTCTAAATTTCCTGTTGTATTTGTGTGACTTTTACTGTGGATTTGGCTCGTTTTAACTTTTTGGCTTATATCATTACCTGTGGTGTTCCACAGGGTTTGGTTTTGTGAGCTCCCAGTTTTCAGCTCCTCTTTAAAGATGCTGTCATGTCATCCTTCTTTTAAACGGTCTCGAGTTCAAGCCTTGGGTTCTCAGGGCGAATACTCCTTAAAGATGGCCACAAAACATATCTATTTTTGATTGATTTATATTTTTATGACCCGATTTCGACTCTGATATTTATGCTTCTTTATTGATCTTATTGGTCTATTTGTTTATTTATGTATTTACTTATTTTACTGAGTATTACAACCATTGTTTTTATTCATTTATTTGTATCTTTTCATACATTAATTTATTCACTTGTTTCCACTTTTTCTCTTCCTCTATCATTTTTCTTCTTTACTTTTGTTCGTCTTTTCTTCACTTTTAACTTTACATGTCCATCTGCTGAGGCTGGGTGTCAGAGGAATGGGGGTTCGAGGGTTGGTATCTGTTCTGGGGTATTCTGAATTGACCTGTAATCTGTAATTAGAACACTATTATTTTTCTAATCTGTAAAATTTCAATAAACAGAAAAAAACATGGCCGCCCAGCAGAGCGTCTCTGGGTTTCTGAAATATCCAACATCTACACCATCGACCTTTTTCTTCGTTGAACCAAAGCGAGGGTTTAGGAACCTGTGACACCTCAGAAGGAGATCTAACTTTAATCTATAGCTCTTAGCACTAATTGATGAGGATTGATCGTCTTTAATTTCTAAAGTCTTGGCTCTTTCTTCCTTCTTACTCACAGGCTTATGGAGCCATCACTACACTTAATCTCTCCATTATCTTCTAACAAACACGTATCAGACGGTGAAGATCACATGTTCTCCTGACCTCCAGTTTTACAAACATGATCTGATCTCAGTTTTCTTTAAAAATAATTCATCTCTCCTGTCTCTGAGTTAACATCCTGACCCCGCGCTGGTTTTCCTTTGATTGTGTGGAGCTGTTTGTATGTTTATATTTGATCATTGTTCTGTTTTCCTCTCAGCGCTCTGGTCTGCTCTCGCTGCTGCTGCTGCTGCTGCTGGTAAATAAGCGTCATAAATAAACCGACTTGGCTTAAAGAGAAAATCCGCACATAAAACAAGCCTGATCCAGAAAACCCTTTAAGCTTGATGACCGGTTCATTAGCTGACTATTAAACTTGACGCCTTTAAGTTTTATATCGATCCACTTATTGATCAGCTACTTGTTTTCAGCGCTCACTGCGGCACAGTCCAAATATGACTTAAAGAGACTAAACTGGTTGTCTGATAAAACTTGCTCGTCTGTCGAGTCGAGGAGACGCCAGAGTCACAGAAAACAACAAGCATGTGCATTTACAGGTATCAGGTGTTGCTTGTTACTTCAGGCTGCCATTTAGGATACTCAGAAACAACAAGTTAGAGGCTTTTGACGTGTTCAAGGATAAAACTAAAAGTGCTTTCCGACGCCTGTGTGCCCTGATTTGGAAAAAGACCGTAAGTGGAGTTCATATGATTGGTAGAATTTAAGGGACTGTGGACAAACTTTAGAAATTTATTACACAGAACATAAATGTTTTTCCCCCCTGGTTGCGATGTTGACACGTCAGACTGGTTTGTGCTCAAGTCCTCTATTTTTCTGTGAAGCTCCATTTTTAAAAGTTATTAGGGGGTTCATGTTTTCTATGATTGACACTTGATACAGCCTATGGGTGTACGAAGATTGCGTAGCTCACCCAGGGGATACGCTGTTTGAGCCGAGCGTCATCGCAACGACTCTCCCACCGAATGCGTACTACACTACTACGAAGCGCCGGTTTCAGGAAATGAAGAAAAATCCTGGAAATACAGAGAGCTTTTGCCTTAAAATCCGTAAATAGGCGGGAGGCAGAACCAAGTTGTCCATAGTATATACAGTCTACACTCTTGACATGTTCAAGGATAAAACTAAAAGTGCTTTTCCGACACCTGTGTGCCCTGATTTGGAAAAAGTCATCTGAAAGATGTCGCAGTCAAAGGTGTAAATGAGTTTATCAGCTCTTCCACACTAAATGTAAACATTTTTAACTTTTTTTAAACTTTTCTGACAAATTTAAACGTCTTTTTATAATTGTTGTAGTTGTATTTTTTAAACTTCACTCAGGTGAACTCTCTCAGCTTTCTGCCTCTTCCTGAACTAAATATCATCCATCTTTATTTCTCTCCTCTTTTATTCATTTTTAATCTACATGGTTAATTAATGGGCTTGATTAAGGATGCGGCGCCCTCTTCACTCTACTGACTCGAGTTTTTACTAAACGACACACTGCTGTCCTTTAAGCTCAAGTCAAATTTCCTGTTTACGTCAGACTTCTTTAAAAAGTTTCATAAAAGTTTAAAAATCCTTGCAGGTGTCTGATTAAATTTCCGGTCCTGTGTCCCTGTGTTTATCAGCGGAGGTGAACCCGTACCTGCACCGCCGCTGCCACCGCTGTCCACTCGGGGACGCTTGTTTTGCTGACCCTGCTCCTCCTTGACCTCGGGCTCGTCCTTCGGACTCTCCTCGCTCCGGCTCTCGTCGAGCTTCCTCTTGGGGAACATCTTCCTCGCTGCGCGCACACGTCAGGGACAGAGGGAGGGGAAAAAAACAGAAGAGAGTGAAACATATCCTGATCAAACAGACAGAGAACAAGGAGACAGAGGCAGACTCTCTCTGTGCAGATGTAGGGCGAGGAAAACAGAGACTCTCAGCTCCGTATTTTTGCTAATGAAAACACTAATTCCATCCTGAAAGATATTATGCGGCGCAGCGGCGGCTCAGGGTTCCAGTGTAATTTCCTCTGTAATTTTATGCAGCAGCGGTGCTTGAGGGTAATTTTAGTTTTGGATTTCCACATCCGCCGCCGCCGCCTCTGTTCTGCTGCTTGTTACGACTCCGGCGCAGGTAGCACGGCTGGTGTTTTCCTTCTAGATATCATAATGAAAGCATTAACCCGGCATCATTAAGATCGCAATTTCTGGCCAAATTAGAGTGTTTCTTTAATGTGCTGTTTTCTCCGGTGGTGACAGCGGCGGCGGCGGCGGGGGGATCTTATTGTGGCGAACGGCCGCACTCATCAAACACAAAGGGAATGAGATGATGAAAGAAATAAGAGACGCTTTTTTTTTTTTCTTCCTGCAGGAGAAAAAGGAGGACGAGGGAGAGGGAAAACAAAGGAGAAGAAGAAGAGCTTTAAATCTTTCCTTTGAGATCTGGTTCTTGTATTATTACGCGTCAACACGTTCATCTCATTTAGAGTCACCGATAATGACCGTGAACAGCTCCGTCTCTCTCTCACCTTCGTCTCGCAGCTGTCAGGTACAGACTGCAGCTATAAAACAATCATCACCACATATGCTGGTGCTTTTATTTTGAAGGGGAGTTACCAAAGATAGACAATCAGCTGCTGCAGAGCGCCGACTTGCTCCACCGGTTACATTAAGTCAGCAGAAAAGGGAGTAATAGCGTTATTACGATTATGTAAATACATGCAGAAAAATAATGATGTCAGCTCGTGGAGAAGGTTCGAGAGGGAGAAACTGACGAGACAATCCGCTCTACTGGTACTCGACACCCTTCCAGGGAGTCAGGAGATAAATGAAAGTCGAGGGCGGCGAGTGTGCGGAGCGGCTTCTCATGAACGACCTTCTCATGCGTGCTCTCGGTGATGAATGTCGTGTTTTCGCGCTCATTCTGAAATAACGAGTATCTGGATCCATTAGGCTCCCGCTAACGAGTCATCGAGAGTGAAAGAGCTGAAGGCGGGAAAACTTTGAGAGGAGGAGGTCAGGATAAGACGGTCAGGATCACCTGTTTTACGTTTCACGATCCCTGAGGGCGAGATGGAGTTGGGGGTGCTGGGGGTCCCCGGTGAAGCTGAAGAGGCAGGGGTAGCCGGGGTGGCCGGGGTTACAGGGGTCGCCGGGGCCGGTGGAGGAGACAAGGGGGTGGGAACCGCCTTGAAGACGTCGTCCTTCTGTAAAAGATGAGAAGCAGGTTAGAGCTGCAGGACAGATTCAGGTGAGTGATGAAGAAGAAGGAAAACAACCAGAGAGAGAGAGAGAACGCAGAGCGGGGCGCATTAAAGTCTGAAGAAGCTGAAGAATTCACTCAAAAACCCTCAAGGTCCGAGCGCCACCGCTGTGGCTCAAAACCTATCGACCAATCACAGTTCAAGAAGGTAGGGCCGGACGATTACAGCAAAAATCACGATTATTTTGTCTGATATTGAAATCACGATTAAAAAACATGATTATTCATTCATTTCGAAACTGAACTTTAAATACAACCTAAAAGAACAAACACAAATAAATAACAAGTAAAAACATTCAAATTAATCCTCCCTGTGATCGTCGACACTAACTTGCTTATGCTAATACTTGGCATGCGTGCTCTGCGGCGCAGCGCCAACGTGCGCCCACATATACTGATAGATACCGATTTAGAGTTAGAGTTCATTTTTATGACATGTCGGCTTTTATTTCGCTGTGGTGTTGCGCCACGGTTGTTTGCATAGCCTAAAGTGTAAACCCTGCAGTCGGTCGTGTCGCCTTGGCGAGCAGACAAGACGGCGCGACAAACTTGGCGAACAATTTCCCTTTGCTCGACGTCCGTCCGATTGAAGCCGAAATGTTTCGATATTATTGAAGTTGTCGTACCGTGTTTTCAATCGTTCCTGCTCATATTTTGGATCCACACACGCCACACGCTTGCAATAGGGGCGCATTTGAGGGTTTTTTTCAGCACAACTTAGATACACGCTGTTCTGAGCGGCGCATTAACTGTTTTTCTTCTATTATGTTTTTTTGGTCGTGAGAAGCCAAAATCGAAACCATGTTTTGAAGGGGTGAGACGAGACAGATTTCGACTTCCTCCCACTCCATTTTGACTCTCTGGTTTTGTTTTGTTTTCTTTCTTTCTTTCTTTCTGTGTGTTTATGTCTTAATTTATACTGTTAAATTGTTGTTCATGTTCAAATAAATTCTATAAAAAATAAATAAATAAAAAAGATTGAAATTCGATGAATCGTCCAGCTGTCCAAGACGGGAAATTCAACCGCTGAACGGCGAGTCAAATATCATCGCCGTGCACAAAACAGTCGGACAACACCACCCGACTATTTCTTTTCACTGTGACTGCTCTGTGTGTGTCTTTCTGCTCCGCCCTCCGTCACACCTGCACCTCTCCACCTACAACACCACTTCTTTCAGCGCTTATTTACAGAGCAGCAAATCCCAATTTCTGGCTTTTCATGAAAAAAAAAAAACACAACTCAGGTTTATGTCTGCTGTAGACGGAGGAGAGAGGAGAGAAACGGAGAAGCCATCAGGTCCAAAAACACCGTCGTAAACTTGTCGATATAAAGCAGATTTGTTCAAGAGTGAGCCGCATAAAAAAAGAGGATTTACAGCCGATTAGAGTTTTGATTCCTTCGTCGAAATGACAGCTCCTCGGCCTTTTCCATCTGCGGCTGACATGACAAATGCAGGGTTGGTTGTGCAGCTTTATAAGACAATTTACTCTGGAGCTCAGTGGACTGCTTTTATCACCCAACCTCAACTTTCTGCTGAAAAAAAAAAGACGATTTTTTAAAGTCTATAGAAGCTCCACAACGACCTGTCAACACCAAAAGAGCTGAGAGCCAAAATACAGAGGAGCCGAAAACCTCCACTAAATCTATAAACGGGAGTATCTTTGCTTTTTAGAGAGTGTGTGAGAACAACACTGCAAACCCTGAACGACACACACCTCCATCAGCGAGGAAACAAGTTTGTTGTGCACCGGAGCGCATCGCTCAAGAGGGCCGCGAGGAGGAGAGAGAGAGAAAAAACAAGAGCTCTACCGCAGGCAGACTGACAACCTGCTTCAGCACATGAGACCCGTCAGCGCCGTCTTCGCTTTCGAGGCGAGGACATCCTTACAAACCAGCTGATAATAATTAAGAAGGTCCAAATCTTCAGGACTGACGGGACGCAGAAAAGCCTTCACCTTTAAGAGCTTATTTATTTTCCCACATTTGAAGTTGAACTTCAGAGAACAACAGGAAGATTAGCGACTGATTAAAACAATCAGCGGCTCCGCTCTGTATTTATGTTTGCCGGAGGTGCTCTGTGGGAGCAGAAAATCCTCAAATATCAGCGTGATCATTGGCAGCGTTTAATAATAGTTATATCAGAGCGACGCATCGCCCCTCTGTGATGGAATAATGAATCGTTCCCGACACACTACAGCAAATAAACGGGCGCTAATAGGAGTGTTTATCAAACGACAGGTGGTGGAGCGATGGCCGAAGCCGATAATCAGCTCTTTTTTATTTTGTGGCTTATTGATGAATACATTCAACACGGTGAATCACTGTACAATCACGCCGCCTTTGTGCCGCCGTGTTTTCAAACCGGGCGGTAAATAACAGGCGCCGCTGGACCTGCAGGAGCTCTAACAGCCTTATTAGACGCACTTCATTCAGGAGGAAGAGCGTCTGATTGGCTGGGCGCTGTTACTGTCTGAGCGGGGGAAAGGGAGGGCGTGGAGGTAAAGGATCAGCTGATATCAAACATTGTCCATTCATGTTGGGTGGTATGAACAAAATCTTTTATCACGTTAATGGTTTATATCACAGTATGTTTTTTCCTCCTGTAAATGAAATGGTTAACCCTTGTGTAACGCTGTGGCTAAAATCAGCCACTAGGGGCAAAATTTAGCCTCTGATTTCCACGTGACTTTTTTTTACTGCAGCAAATGGGATGATTTTATGTATTTTCTGCAGATGCTTCTATTGACACTTAGAGCCACACAGTTTTTTGACCTCGCTCTCGCCTCTTTGTTGTTGGATATATTTCATCTTTTCATATGAGCTTCTTCTGTTTTGTACTAACCTTGCATTTTTTGAAGTAAACAGTTGAACGAAGTTTGATCTCACCGAGTTATTTTAATGTTTTACGGATGTGGACTGTAAGGACAGAGGGGACGATGAGAGCGTCGAGCTGAGGCTTCATTAATCAGGAACTTACTCTGTTTCTTCTTCCTCGTCTAAACTACGCCAAACAGTCTGCTGGACACACTGGTGACTATAGGGAGCGCACCCAATCCTGACCAATCAAACGGAGCGAACAAACTCCACATGACACACTTGTGAATATACGGAAACGCACCCAAACAGATGCGCTCCGTCTCTCCTGTAGCGCAGACAACTATACACTGACTCAGAGAGATGCAGCAGACATCTGCGCTCTCTCTCTCTTGGCGCACTGCTGAATGATTCTACTCTAAGGTGACGGTAGCAGCGCATGCCCCTTGTAATAACCCCCGTAAGAACTGTTGTTCAGGACTGCTTACTTGTGCTTCCTACCTATTCGGCTACTGTAATAACCGTTGTTCGAGCCCACACGCAACATTTTTGTTCTCATTTATGAAACGCTTACATCAGGGACAGCTTTTGCCGGGGACAGGCCATCCAATTCGGGGACTGTCCCCGGAAATCGGGGAGGTCTGGTCACCTTGTTCTACTCGCACTGTGTGAGCGCAACAACACACAACGTTATTTCCAACTTGTTGTGAGTCTTCAAGGAGCGCATCGAATCCTGTCGGACCCTCTTCTATCACCGTGAAAGGTAACGTTTAAGGTCTGTATATATACCATCATACCGCCCATCACCATCGCCCATCTAGGCCTCTTACCGTTTCCGTTTTACCGGCGGCGTCTTTTTTCCCCTGTCCCTTCACGGCGACTTGCTCTTCAACCATCGGCGCATCGTCGTCATCACTGTCCAGGATCTGGCGGCTGCGTTTGACGACCTTCTTGATGGGTGAATCTACTTCCTGGATGCCGTTCTGCACCTTCAGAGGGCTTTTGACGGTCCTGGAGAAGAAACACAGATTTAATCCCTCTTTCTGAGATGAAGTGACACGGCGCTTTTTCGAGGTGTTAATGTCGGTTACAAGAGCAGTGAAGAAAAAAAAAAAGGAAAGTCGTAAAATCAAGGCTGGAGTCATAAAAGAGAGGTCAATGCACTGATGAAGGGATCATTACATAAAAGACAAGTGAGTTTAAAGACGTCCTTTAGGTTAATACAGTCTGGAGATAATGAACAGGAGCATCAAAAGACGAGGAACTCAAGTTATCGGCTCTTTTGATTAGAATAAAAGTGGACAAAGAAAAGCTTTTCTGATCCGTGATTCAGAGACAACTTTCCTGTACTGACACTGTCTGAGAGGTTCGGACACAGACGCAGGTTACATCCCACTCCCACTCTTGTTCAGTTGACTTCATTTTTACAGGCTGCAACTTCTCCCCGGGTCCTCTAATCTAAGAACGAGAACTGATCTAAAAACAAACTGTTTTAAAAGAGTTGAAAATCAGACGGTTAACCAAAAGAACAGGGACAAAGAGCGTGTATGTTCCTGTCAGGGGTCACAAATCTGATCTAGAATTTTAAGTTAGTTAAAAACATGAAACAATTAAAACATTCATCCATCATTCATTCATCTTCTACTGCTTATTCCTGTTCTCGGGATCGAGGGGGGGCTGGACCCTATCTCAGCATCTTCGGGGGCAAAGGCAGGGGACACCCTGGACAAGTCACTAGTTCATTGCAGGGCTGACATATAGAGACGAACGACCATCCACGCTCACATTCACTTTTGAAATTTGAAAGTGGCTAATTAACATAACCCCACCCCTAACCAGAGTACCCGGCGTAAACCCACGCAGATACAGGGAGAACATGCAAACTCCACACAGAAATGCCCTGACCCGGATTCAAACCCAGGACCTTCTTGCTGTGAGTGCTAACCGTTACACCGCTGTGCCGCCCAGGCTAAAACATAGAAGCAATAAATTAAATTAAATGAATCAAAGGTACGAAACGGCCACAGAAAGAGTCAAATAAACTGATCAATAACAAGAGGAAACAGGACATCATTTAAAGTTACAAAAAAAGGAAGTGTTGAGAGCAAAAGGACGAAGAAATGGACAAACAGAGGATCAAACATAAACAAGAACACAAATCCGGAGAGTAACAGAAGATATAAATAAAAATGAGGATCAGGGGTGAATAAAACTGAGACACTTCTTCACAAGTTGCATTTAAAAAAGAAAAATGCGCCTAATTATGATTATAGTTCAGGTTTTTTTTAAACTATCTCTGATGAGCGTCTCTTTAAAGCCATAATGTGTATAGATTATTGGTTATTAGTCATTCTTTAATATCATCTCCTCTCATTACCTCTTGAACAGAGTTAACCTTAATGAAGCACTTTCACTTGATGTGCTCTTATGGCTAAAGAGGAACCAGTCATGTGACCACAGAGAACTGACTCTCATACTGTATAGATGATCTTTGTATTTGTCCGACACTGTACTTCCATTTTTTATATTCCTTTTTCCTCGACCTGCCAGGGACTACAGATGAAAATGAGCCTTTGGCTGAATTTGGCGTATTTACATTTGTATGTTCATTAATGTGCACATTATCTATGTCCACAGCTGCCCCGACCCTCTGGAACTCCCTACCACCCTTCAACAGACACTGCCCCGACCCCACGACTTTCAAATCCCTTTAAAAACTCACTAATTTAAAATTACTTTTAATATTTAACCGTTTTATTCATTTCACAGTTTTCATGTCTTTGTTTTATTACTATGTAAAGCGTCTTTGAGTGTTTTTAAAAGCGCTGTACAAATAAAATGAATTATTATTATTATTATTGACCCTTTTAAATAAATAAATGAAATGGAAGGAAGTGTCAAAAGACGGAGTGGTTTTTACATTTACATAATGTCATGTTCATGCTCAATTATTATCTAGTTTTTTGATCGATAATCAATTAATGTGTGAAGACTGTGATCTGATTGTGAACACTGTATCCCAGCTGCATGCTCACACAGTATTTTAATCTTAGTTTCTGCACATACAGTCCTTTAAAACAGTGATACAGTGAAGATAAAAGCATCACGACTATAACTTCTAACCTGAAAATATCTTGGCATATTTGTTTTGTTTTCTATGATCTGTGCCTCACATGTTTACATTTCTTATGACTATTGAAATCTATCGCAGTAAAAGGCATTTTCCTCCCTTTTCAAATGGCACTCACAAAGAAAACTTACTTCTTCACAGGTTCATCTGTAGTTTTCTTCTGAACCTCTTTATTCTTTGGCTGAAAAAAGGATCTGAGGAGAGAAAACAAACGAGAAAAGGGGGAAATTAATGATTTTGTTGGTGTTTAGCGTGTAAATAAACACTCCCTGCAAACAGCAAAGGTTTTACAGTCACTGCTCATGTGCAGCTCTGAATAAACCAAACTGTAGGCTCACTAATAAAGTTGTATAGATCATTAATGGATTTATTACCACCTTGCAAAGCAGCTAGTCTTTCTAACGTGATTATTTTGCATCTCCTAACCTCCTACTATCGTGTTTTATCAATCTAACAAGCTATTAGTGAGCTGTGATTCCAATAATCGTGATGATTTTGATGTTAAAGCCTCTTTCCTGCACAGACAGAGCACACTCATGTCTCTTACTACTTAAGCTAATGCTACAATAACTAGCAAACAAGCTAAACAGAAACAACGGTAAATCCGTGTACTCACGCGATACTCCGCTGCATTTTTGTCTCCGAACTTTTCCTTCAATTCTCACTAAATAAAGACGAACAGGTTAACAACACCGCAGCTCCGACATTCACACACAAACACACGAACTCCCGCGCTGTAAAGTGACAATATAGTTGGAATATTCCGCGCCAAAATGAGATGTCAATCAAAGATCCTAAAGAAAATAAGATGGGTCACTCTGCAGCTCAAATCGGGCGCTTTTTTGAAATCTACAATACGGAAGCCCCAAGCGGACACGCCGCTCTTTTTGTTTTGTGTTTTGTTTAACCGTGTTAAAAATCTCGATTTATTCCATTTATATACCAGGAAATTAATTTGAGCATATTTCTGTGTTTGTTTTGTGCTTTTTGACTCTGGTTAAACACCTCAACTCCTCACCATCACAGAAAAACTAAACAGAAAAAATGGGTGGACATGACATATTTGGTCATCATGATAAGAGTAAGTATAAGAAGAGCTTTATTAATCAATTGTCTGTCGTCTCATTTGTCATGTCAATCTGAAAGTCATCTACCATTTACAGAAGAGTTGTAAAGTCTGATGGCTGTTTGTACAAAAGATCGGAAGTATCCATCAGCAGCCAACAAAAAGACAACAAAAATGAGGAAAAAATATAGCACAAATTACAAAAATTACAGAGAATGTGTGACATTTTGAGATTAAAAACCATATGTGGCACCCTGAACATCATTCACCAGTCATTTATTGGTATTATTTGTATGGTTGCATTGGTATTATTTATGTTATTACCTAGGCCACCCCCTTAAATGTGTAAAGAAATGTCAGGTGAATTTATTTGTACAGTAGTAGGTGTGTGAATGACCAAAAATCAATATATTGGCAGAAATAGAGGGCCCCTAAAATTAAATTTCTGTATATAATATAATATAATATAACATAATATAATATAACAAAGGCTGTAATTGCTTGGTGTGTATTTCAAGGACAAAAATAACCCTGAAGAAAGGTCCTCGAAACTTGACAAAACTCTTAACTGCCTATTGTAACAAAAACAATGAGGAAAAATATCAGCCAAACTCTTAAAAAATGTTTTAGTAATGTTAAAAGTAACTAAGAATGCTTAGAAGCAAATAAAAATAATCCAATTTAAGCAAAATGTAAACACTACTTTGCAATTAAGTTTCATCAATTGAGGGTACCAACAAAATACGAACAGAGTGATACCTCTGTTAGTGAACATATCTTATCTCCGACTCTCCCGGGAAAAAAAGCCGTGCAAAGTGTGGTTCTCTGAAGGCCAGAGCTGCTGCTGCCCCCTACCGTCTCGGAGTGATAACTGCAGCTGAGAGGACGTGAAGTCTGCCGTCATGAAAATTTCACAGCGTCTGTTTAAATGCAACATTTATGCTTCTTCACGGAGCCTGGAGAAGGAGGGCGAATGCAAGACAAACAGCTGAATAATGTAAGCCGAGCGTTCTGCTTTATTAAGTCAAACACAAGTGCCATGTTGTTAATTGTTTACAAGTGCAATTCCCCTTACTGTGGCATGAAGTGCTGACAGAAGAAAAGCTACTTCCTGAAACATCTCTGTTCAGCAAAAAAGCAAACAAACAAAAAGGCATCAGGGTCCAACTCAATAAATACAAAGTCCGTGTACTGCACACAGCTGGAAACTACTTGATAATTGGCTAAAAGCAACACAAAAAAGTGTTTACATGAGGGGGGATTGTGCAGTTTTTTCCCTTTCCTCACTCTCTCTCCCCCGTCTGTGTGTCACTCCCCCCTCTCCCTCCCTCTCCCTCAGTTTCAGTCTGCTTCACTCCACCAAACAGGTCCCGACGGATGTGGTTTAGGTGATCCCAACCCAGCGTGGGGCTCTTGTGCGGCCACCCGTTGGCGCCGAGGTGGAGGGCCGAGGTCAGAGGTGGTAGACCGGACTCCCTCAGCTCCTCCAGGTTGGGTCCCAGACGTGCAGGAGCGGGAACAAAGGGGAGGTGGCCGTGGATGGTGTGGGGCATCGGGAGGTACTTAGGGAGGCAGCAGGGGAGCAGGAGGGGGTGAGGTATGGGGAGGACTGCTAAAAGAGAGAGAGACAGAGGTCGGTTGTGAAACAGGAGAGAAATAAAACTGCACAAGTCCTCGACGAAGGAAAAGGTGTCAAAACAATCAGTAAAACATCACTATATTTACCGAAAAGTAAGTTGTAAGTTGACTGGAATTAAAAGTTAAACGGAAATTAGGCTGTGAATGAATTAGAAAAAAGTTAAAGGGATATTCTAGCGTAAAATTAAGTCAGTGTCAAACACACCGTGGCCCTCTGTATGTTGCTATCGTGCGGTCATTACTAAAGTTGGTTTAACGAGAGAAGCAAACGGTCGGGAACATCCATCTCTCGATGGGGTGTCTAACTCAATGTTACGGTGGATGGCCCTAACTTAATTTTACACCAGATTATCCCTTTAAGATAAAGTTGTAATACTGCAAAAAAAACTCCCTACACCACAGGAGCTTTAAAGTTACAAAACAGTCCCAAAGGAGGAGGAAATAACTCTCTTCTCTGAGGTGTTGTTAAAGCCACAATAAGGAACTTTAGGTTTGTGTTGGTTTGGCGCCCCCCTGTGGTCAATGCCAAACCTCTTCTCTCTTGTCTTATGCATGTGGATGTTTATGTCAACAGCTAAATATGTCATTTTACTCTGGGAAAAGTAAAAAAAGGCCGTTTCTAATGCCAGCTGTCAATCATCAGGTCTGACTCCTCCCCCTGACGATCAGAAATCACATCAGAGGAAAATATCAGCCTTTTTTTGTTGTTGTTGATTTTTTTTTTGCTTTTAAAGGTCATTAAGTGGCATCACCATCAGGTTTTTATACTGTTTTTCAACCTGTTAAAAGCCCCTTATAGTACCTTTAAATACACCTTTGTGAAAGTTCAGGTTGGTGCTCTTAGCCACAGTTAGAAAGACACGTCTACATTCTAATTTCTCCACAGACTCTCGGCTCTGAATGAAGTTAATGAAGCAGTGGAGCACTTCACAGAAATAAATATCATGGCGTATTATATAACTTTCACATATTTGACATTTTTATGGCACACCTCGTGAAAGAAAATAAAGAAATCTCAAGCTCAGTGGTTCAGAAATAAAAGCTTTTCTCAAGGTTCACTTGATGTTTTTAAGTCGAAGGTTTTCATCTTAAGAAACGAACTGCAGAGAGAGACTGAAAAAGACAAGTGAGAGGAGTTCAAGGTAAGATGTTTCAGTCATAAGAAACTCCTTTTTATTTCATCTGTCGCTTTTATCTCATCAGAGCTGCACAATTACGGCGTATAAACCGGGGCTGACAGCAATTACTCAATGCAAACTGCAGCATAAACCTGCAGGAATATAGTTCATAAAGTGTAGGGTGTAAAAAAGGGGAGATGTTTGTGGAGTTAAATCTCAAAACCTACATCTATTTGATCTCAGAGTGCGGGATTTAATCACTCAGAAAATACACCGGGAGCTTCAAGGTTAACGCTCAGTGTTTTTCTCCAGAAACTCCCGAAATATGAAAAAAAATCATGCAAATAAAAAACAGAAAAAGAAAAGTGGTTTCTCTGCAGTTTGGATTAAAAGACACTTGAGGACTTGAAAGGCTTTTAAGAGCGTTCAGTGGTGATAAACTGGAGTGAATATGAGTCTGAAGACGATGGAGGAAAAGTGGAAAACATTTAAATGAATTTTAATCTTCTACTGCAGTTTCTGTTTGGAGTGTTTGTGGAGATTAAGGACAAACTTTCTTGAGTTTAAAGCCTGATTTTTGCTACAATTAACATCCAAATACAGACCCACATCATCGTTAATTACCAAGTCTTTGTTCAGGTTAAGCTGGAGCGAGTGTGAGCTGATCGGTTCATGTTGTCCTCTCACTCATCTCTGCTGTGACTGAATAACAAGATGACGGATCTTCAACCTGATCAAACCCACCTATTACTATCTGAGGACCTGTCTGTGTGTGTTAATCTGATGTCTGAAGTGTTTACAGGCTGTGAGACCAAAAGACTTAGAGCTCCCCCTGGTGGCTGGCTGCATGAATCAGCCATACTGATGGATGGAGTGCTGCAAAAACTGACATATAAGCGAGATTTTCCCCCTTATCTCTAGTAAAAAGTGTTCATTTGAGACGTTAAAGCCATATTTATCAAATTAAAATCTTGTTTTGAGATATTACCATCCTAAACTAAGGCCTGGATTCTTTGTTAAGAGTGAAAAATGACCTTTCAGTGAGACTGCTTTCTCTAGAAATACACCGTCAGTGGGGCCCAATAAGCCTTGAGGTGTGACTACTTCACTTGGTGTCTCAAATCGATAAACATTTTCAATCCAACCAGCATTTTACAAGGTTTATTGACTCAGTAAAATGTCACCATTTTAAAAAGTTAATACCACGACTTTAGCTTTTATCTCCTGGTACTTGTGCTGCTTTCCAGTTACTGCGGAAGTCGGATGTCGGAGCTAGGAATGACGTCACACCTGAGTTGACGGCGTTCCAGTTAACAAGTTGGAAATCAGAAAACCAAGAAGGACGCCTACTGTTAGCCGTTGTCAGCTGTTGTTAGCCGTTGTCAGTTGTTGTTAGCTGTTGTCAGTTGTTACAACTGGAAAGCAGCATTAGTTCAGAGGAGCAGACAGGTGTGACCACATTATATCGTGAATTTTTATGTTTGCTGGGCTGCAAATGACAGATCCATACTGTAGATATTAATACAAATGGTGAATAATATCTGTACGTGACTAAAATATGTTTGGTTTTATGAATAAAAATGAAAAATCAGAGATTTAATGCCCTCAAACTGATAAATTACTGCCTGTCTTTAATTACCTTCAATGTAAATTTTAAATCTGACTCCAGCATCGTTAAAATGTGCCGGTTATTCACCTCCTGCAGCTATTTTCTCTGTATATTATTATCTTTTTTTCTTTTTTTTGGCTGTGCAGACTCTTTGACAGCACAATCTGACGGTTTGGATATTTTAAGTTTATCTTCACACACAGAGGACTCATTAGGAAGTATAGAAACCGAGTGACTCTGGGATGGGAGCCGCAGACGGGATAGTGCAGACAGATAAAACACATAATTAGTTCTAGTTCAATTTCATGAGATTTTCTGACAATCAAACACATTTATAATAATTTTAACTCTTTTTTTGGGACGAATATCCGAGCTTTTCAGACAAAAACACAGATTGTTCGGACTCACTAATCGACGCGTCCTTACCTCTGTCCATCACCGATCCTCCACGCAGAGGAAGACCGCTCTCAGAGGGGAGGAGAGGGAAGGGGAGAGGGCCGCTCTGTACCAGCTGGAGGGTGGAAGGATGGAGGATGAGATGGGAGGATGTTTGAAATGAACAAATGGACCTTTTTTTATCATCGCTACACAGTCTGATGCACAGGAGGAATAGAGATCTTTAACCGACTTGACCTCAGACATATCCTTCAGATCGAACCTTGAAGGAGGTAGAAATGTTTTAAAGAAGTTAATCAACCGAACAGCATCGAATTTTGTCCTTTTTAAAAGCTGAAATGTGGTTAAACTTATTAACAACACATGATATTAAGAGTTCGAGTCAGTGATCAGTAAATCATCTAATGGGCTCCACTTATGCAGCACTTTCCCACTTCAGCTGACAGAGATTTGCTTTTAGGGAATTAATCATGAAATAAAACAAAGTGCTGCGCTTTAAAAAAAAAAGGTGATAGTTGACCTGAGAGTTTGGTTATGAGTGTGAGGCGCTGAATCCTCTCTGTGTTCGGAGATCGGTCAGCGAGTCAATTTCACATTAACTGATAAAGGTTTCGGTATAATGAAAGGTGGGGATGACCTGATGGCTGGATGGTGGTGGATGATGATGAGGAGGAGGAGCAGGAGGCGGAGGGTGTCCTGCTGGGTAGTTGACCAGGATGAGTTTGCTGAAGTTGAACTTGTAGGTGAAGCGTTTCCCTTTGGTCTTGTGCAGGATGCGTTTGTTGTAGTAGTATCTGGAAGTAAAGCGTTTGCGTGTCAAACTCTGTTTGTTTAGGATCTGTGTGTGTTTATATCTATCTATATTATGTATACGCTCACGCTCCTGCAGGGCATGCTGCGGGAACACACGCAGCTTTGATTCCCAAACGGCGTGTGTTGCATCTGTAGGCATTTTAGATTTTAAATTTTAATTTAGAAACGCTCGTCGGCGAAGAAATTACCACAGCAGCAGCCTCAGGGAGAAGCTGCACAGAGAGGGAGGATGGTCCATATTCATAAAGCAGAATAATTCCTCTGATGTGACGCTCCGGATGGGAGGATAAATTTTGCATAATGTTGTTTTTACTGTAAACCGAGTTCCAATCGGCCACCAAAAAGGAAAACCTGGAGGGATGTTTACCTGAGCGCCCGGCTGAGCTTGTCGTAGTTCATGTGCGGTTTCCCCTTCCTCTCGCCCCACAGCCTGGCCAACCTCTCGGGGTCCCTGATGACGAACTCGCCCCACTCTCCTCCCCATCCGATGGCGCCGACCTCGCCTCGCCCCAGCAGCTCGAGGAGGAAGTGCCAAAGCTGCACCTGCCTGGAACCGGGCGACCAGGCCGGTTTGTAGGCCCAGTCTGGGAAAAGCACAGCTGAAGGGACACAAGGACGTTTGTGAGTTTTTTCCTGTTAGAGAGGGATCGAAGAAACTCCTGATTTTATCGAAGGGGGTCAACTGAGGGGTGTACATTTACAACCGACTGGAAAGAAGACAAAGGTTCAACATCAGCTGGACAACGCTGAGGACGCCTGAAGACGAGTTTGTAGTACAGTCCAGCTTGAGGTTGTTTTGGGGGTACTAGGTTGAAGGAACAGACTGATCCGGAGGGTCTGCAGTGTTAGAGAGACGTTAGTGTTACCCGAAGAGCTCATTAAAATGAGATTCACCACAGGGAGGCTTTTTAAACTTTTCAACTCTTTCCTCGGAGTGTCAGATACTGTGAGTCAACGGTGGATGGATGTTGGACTTGGATAACCTCATCATTGATTTATAACGGGAATTTTCTGCTGCCCTTGGAGTGCATAGTTTCGTATGAGCTGTGAATGTTATCCAGGAGAATTTTGGATGCTAAAATGCAAAAAAAAGAGAATTTGTTTACCTCATTTGATGAAAAATGACAGCAATGAAAATATATTTCAAACTTTAAAATATGCAAAGTGAAAAACTTCATATTTTGTTGCACCAGCAGCACTCACAACTTCAATTTCAGGGTGCTTTTTTCACCCGTGGATTCGCGTGCAATCGCACGATAACAAGTTGTCTTTAGCCACATAGGCTAACCATATAAGCAATAGATTGTGTCCTTCCAGAGGAGGAAATCTACTTCTAGACTTCTACAATCAGCATCTTCTCATCCATGGTGTCATCGGGGTGAAATGCTGTCTAAAAACCTTTCACTTGTTTTGTGTTTATTTTGTGGCGATCCGAAGCAGAACAGAAAGAAGACGGTGGAAATTGACACATTAACTTGAACGGTTACGATCTGCTACGATCAGTGGATTCGGCCTTTTCGTAGCCACTCCGCATGTGGTGGAAATCGGGGGTTAGACAGCCACCTGCAGAATAATGCAGTTTAATATCAGTCATGTTTTGCAATCTTGACCCATGCATTCATTAAAAATTGGGATGTCCCGATACGATGATATCATGTATCGATCCGATATCAGCCAAAAAACAAATATCGGATAATATCGGCGTTTATCTAAGATCTGTGATATCAGCACTCCGATACAAGCAGTTCATTCCAGACTCCGCTTCGGCATCTCTAGCTAGCAGCGCCCTGATCCAGCATTCGAAGTGATCACAACAACAGTGTGTATTAAGGTACTAGCGAAGTATCAAGTATCAAAGGATCAGGCAGTATTTTTCGTTTCAGTCCGAAAAAAAACTTTACAGCTGAGTGCAAAAAAAGTCATGCAGAAGTTTGTGCCAATATCGGATCAATATCAGTATTGGCCGATACTGAAGGCTACAATTGGCGACCCCTAATTAAAAATCCATCTTCTCGTCCAAGATAACCACGTATATTAGATCATGATGTAATCATTAAACGTAAACAACATCGTCTTCAGCTGTGGAAAAACCAACATCAGTCGACCACAGGCCTGAATGCTTATATTGTTATTCTGTAAATGGAGACGACAGCACACGTCTTCATTATTCTGACTCCAGTTCTGACTTTTTCCACTGAAACGACATGATTAGTAAGCCCGGGGTAAGTTCCAGCTAAAGTTGAGACATTTCGAAAAGAGTTTCTTCTGCTTTCCTGCGAAGATTAAAATACAGAGCTCGGTACTTTACAGTAAATATGATGCAACTGAGAAATAGAGATGCAGTTTGTTATTCATGGAGGTTTGACACAGCCCTGGGCTCGTTTTCTATTTGTTTTGACAGAGCCGTGCTAATAAACCGCCTCTGTTTCCATCCTCCAGCAAACTGGTTGTCGCAGCTCCACATTTTAAAGACATTTTACCGTGAGACGCTAGTTTCAGCTCCAAGTAGGTTTTTTTTTCTGTATGGAGAGTCTTTTATTGTCCCGTTTGTTTGGCTATTTGTTCACAATATGTTAATTAGTTTGTACAACAATGTGTCACAAATGGCTTTTATTGGATGTTGATAGAATAAAAAATGGGAAAATGAAACTTTTCATCCCTCTAAATTAGCAATTAACATGTTTTCTGAAGCAGAGAAGCTGGTGAATAGAAGTGTTGTGCCGGGCCGGAGAGGACATGAGTATGTGTAATTACTTCTTCCATTATCTGTCCGTGTGATCGTGAAGCTTTGCTTTTCTTGTAAGCTCACACTAATCACTCCTTCATTATGAGAAAACCGTTTCCAGCTCATTATGTCGGGTTCTCAACATGATGATTTGTCACACAGGTTGAAGTTTTGTCCCGGCACAGCTGATATCTTTGGATTCTTCATTTCCTCATGACATTTAGAAAAGATTATGGAGAGTGTGCGGCTTATATTCTGCTTACTTGATTTATGACACCAAACAAACCTGGAGCTGAAAAATACGTTCGGAGATTCAGGATGTCAGGGTTTACCTCTATGTGTGGATTTCATCAGACTGAAACCTAAACAGCCAGACAATCGAGGGTTAAACCACAAGAAATAACCATAGACTGTATGTAGAATCGACACTGTCTGCCTCCTCGCTGGGTGAAGCCACTCCGAGAACAGCACTCTCTGGTGACGGGCTGCAGTATAGGTCATAAATCCCGCCTCCGCCAATGCTCAAGTCCTCTTTTTTTCTGTGCAGCTCCGTCTTTAAAAGTTATCAGGGGGTTCATGTTTTCTATGATTGACACTTGATATAGACTATGGGCATACGAAGATTGCGTTGCTCACCGGAGGGATACGCAGTACGAGCCGAGCATCATCACAGCGACAGAATGGAGGAAATGAAGAAAAAACGCAGAATTATAGAGCTTTTCGGCTTCAAATTCGTATCCTGGCGGAGGGCGGAACCAAGTTGTCTATAGTATACACAGTCTATTGAAATAACACTTAGATTTCTTGTGCAAAATGAAACATGTAAAAGAAACTCAATCTTCAATCTCATTATGTTGTTTTTTTACTCCAAAATTCAATCAGGTGCAGTTTCAGTCATTTTAATGCAACATATCGTTTTTTATGTGCTCCTAATCGTGCAAAATTTGACCTTAACGCCTTTGAAACCGATGAGTTACAAAACTAAGTGCCCCTCTAACAGTGTGCAGATAAATAGAGCAGCTTAGACAAAGATTAATATACAAGTTCTGTAAAGATCACTTTTTTCAATGGGTGTGTATGAGGCTTTTGGAGCTTTTGGAGCGAGCCCCTAGTGGACACTTGAGGAAGTGCAGTTTCATGTCGGCTTCATATTTTAAAAACTATCAAATGGTTCTAGTTTGGTCCCTTCTGTTCTGCAAAAACCAAGATGACAACTCTCTGAGAGCTAAATTAGGGCTTTAAAAGAGTTTTTAAAATCAGTCACAACTCTGAGTCGCAGATGCTGATTGGTTGATCTTTGTTTGCATCATTTGTCGTACCTGACATGTTTCTTTGTTTACATGAATTTGTCTATTTCTTACCACCCTGTTGTGCCACAGACAGTTACACAGCACATAATACAAATTAAATGTCAAATAAACATGAAACATTTCCTGAACAACACGAACAAAATGTCGACAAACAAACAAAAAAAAGAAAATCTTACTTCTGCTCCAGTAAGGCGATGAAAGGTGTCCCACTGAGGAGCTGCAGCTGCACTGCATCTGCGAACACAACACCGAGTAAAACACGGGGAAAAACTACTCAATCGCTTCATCATTAAGAGCATCATCAGATGGAAATCAGAGAGGCAAAAAAGTTGCCTGAAAGAAAGTTTAATTAGCTGTCATGTGGTGTTAAATTAGCTATCACAACAGAGCGCAGATTACTTCTTCTCCAGATTCTCACATATTTAATTTATCAACAAACTCAGAAGCAAAACACAGACTCCACATCTCCAGACGGTCGCTACTTGATGTCAATATTGAACTAATTGTAAATGAATATAAGGAATATTGACCCTATTCAGCTCGTAATGTGCTTGAAATTACATCTACTAATTCAGGAGCTGTTTTGTGATTAGACTCGAGCCTTTGCAGCAACATAAACGTGCGAAAGCTTCATCTTCCCTGCAGATACCGTTTAGTATTTTCTTATAATTTCACCCTATAAACACACACACTGTCCGCCCCACAGGCACGATGACCTTCCCAGTCGATTCAGAGCAGCAGAAACAGCCACCATCTTCCCTGGAAGGCTGAAAACTCATCTCTCCAAGAAGTGCTTCACACAACCCTTTTCCCCCACTGAATCATGTCTCTTCTCTTATAAGCCCTCTTCCACGAGCTGTAATATCCTCTTATCTCGAAGCAACGAGAAAACGATGTCTCCCCTTAGCTCTTATTTTATTTCTTCCCCCCTTTCCCCGTGCAGCTCGGCGCTCACACATGATCACTGCGGGGTCATAAGGATGTTATCAGGGAAATAGGAGAGACGGTTCAGTTTTAAGGCCGCGTTTAGTCAGAAAAGATTGCTAAATGGGCAACTTTTGAAGGACAAGAGATACCAATAGTGCAGAAACAACACAGAAGATGAAGGAGGAGTGAAATGTAACGCAAACTTCAGCTGTTTTGTTAATCAACCGCAAATTAAAGCTTGTCCTGCTTGATAAAAGTGTCACTCAAGTGCCTAAACATTTCAATCTGAATCTAAAAACACTGTAATGATGAGCAGAGTTACACTCAAAACAACAATCTCGGATAATAAGTGAAAATCCTCACGCCTGTCAAGCATGAAAGGTCGAGAAAGAGGTTTTTTTTTCTAACTCTAGATGTAGAAGTAATTTAACTAATCACGTAAAAGCGTCCTCTCTCCCAATCATCTCATTTACAAAGAGCGAGCTAATTAAAGAGTACTGTGCAAGAGTAATAATAATTCAATCGGTCGAGTTACCTCGATTGGAGCAGGAGTGGAGGAGACTCCCTCAGATGAATGACAATGATCAGTTTGTCTGCAGGCGGCCCACTTAAAGAGTCTGAGAGGACTGAAGGATGGATGGACCGAATCTTAAACCCTCTATCTGATCTCGCCCCCAAACCACACACTCTCCCACCTCCCCCCTCTCTCTGTCCTACAACATCCCTCCCTCTCTCCCCCATCCCTGAATTAGGGACAGGAGGCCAAAACGAGGCTGTCACATCAGTGGCCTTTGTGTCAGGTACAAGATGAGAGTTACTTTGTTGACATGTTGTTTAAATTGTATTATTCTGTAATAGTAAGACGACACGTGTGGCACTTTGGAAAAATGTGGATCATATTGTTTTTCATTTGTTTGTTAAAGATCAAATCTTAGCCTATCCTATCAAATTGTGTTATACCATCTTACAGTATCATATCATAGCATGTAGTAACTTACAGCATCGTATCCTATTATATCAGCCTTACTGTATCATATCATACCGTATATTATTGTATTGTTTTTGTATCTTACAGTATCATAATGTATCTGACCTTATCATATGTGTCATATCTTACCGTATTGTATAGTTCCTAATCATGTCATATATAACAGTCTTGTATCTTATTGTATCATTTCAGATCATATTGTATCTGACCTTACAGTATCATATTGTATCATATATTTCAGAATAATATTTTACAGTATATTACCGTAACGTAACCTTTCGGATCATGTCATATCCTACAGTGTTGCATTATATTGTATCCAATCTGACCATATCATATCATATCATATCATGTTTAACATTATCGTATCATATAGTATCATATCGTATCTTACATTATCATATTATATCTAACTTTATCTTACCATTATATCCTAACTAACAGAATCTCATCGTATCTTACAGTATTGAATCACATAGTTGTCACATAGTCTTGAGTCATATTGCATCATTTCATATAACATATCTGACTTTACCATAACATAGAGTATCATAACGTATCTTACAGTATTGTATAGTATCACATATCTTACAGGATCATACCATATTGTATCATATGTTTCTAAACCCCATTTTACAGTATTTAACTGTACCGTATCTTTTCTAATCATCTTGTATCTAACAGTATAGTATTGTATCTAATCTTACCGTATTATATCATATATTTAACAGTATCTTAACATATTATATCATATTGTTTTTAACAGTATCTTACCGTATTATATAATATTCAAATAACAGTATCTAATCATACATCATATCACAATTTAACAGTATCTTACCCTATTTTTTCATATTGTTTTTAACAGTATTTTATTGTATCATATTTTATCTTACTATATCGTTTTGTATCATGTCTCATTTTACAGTATCATATCTTTCGCTGTATCATAAATACCATATTATATTATATTGTATCATATCATATTGGATTGTATCAAATCAAAGCGTTTTAAACTGTATTATATCCAACTTCATCACAACACATTGTTTTATATTATACCGTTCGTTTTTAATTCTGTCATTTTAGGAAAAAATTATTAAGTGTTGTATAAACATTGAGGGAAGTTTGGTTTTCTTGGTGCTGTGATTACTAAATTGATTAACTGACTAAATGATTTAGTTAACAATTATTATGTTGATTTGAAGGACAGAAGATTTGCCTGACAAATAATATCTAGCAGATTCCCATCACACAGTATGCTATAGGGATGTTGGTGCTTTTAAAAGGACAATTTATACATAAGAGTAGCCAGGTAATTTTCTTTCAGCAGACTGATTAAGTAATTATTCACTGTATTGATCCTCTAAGGTTTTATTCCAGCTCATATACTCAAACTGCAGGAAATTCAAGTTTCATCAGTGTAGTTTTCAGCTGTTTTTGTTCGTATTATTTTGAAATAAAAAACTCAGCGTTCATAGAAGTAGTTCAGGCAAAGCACACAATTTAATTATCACATCTTTGACTCACGAGGCCACAAATAATCCAAAGTTCTGGTCTAAACATGAAGCTCAGACAGTTTAATTCAGCACTTACTCTGAATTTGTAAGCAGAGATGACTCCGGGTCATCACTGCTGTTGGGCAGAGTGGAGGAGGTCAGCTGTAAAATAGGTTCAGATTACCGCCGTGACAAGTGAGAGTTGAAAGGGTCAGACCTGAACTGAAGTAAGAGGAAAAAGAAAAAAAGTAAACCAGAAGGAAAAAGGTGAAGGTGCCTCTAATACGCTGTGGATTACGCCGAGCCGAGGGGAAGATATGATTGAGTGGAGAGAAGGTGACTGGAGGTTTTCTCCTCGCTGAATCAAACGGGAGATGAACTCAACGCTTTACTCCTCTACTGCTGCTTTTACTCGACAGGAGTGACCTTGGCCGGGGTCAACAGGCGGCTCAATACTCTGCCTCACAGGCTCAGAGGGCTGAGAGGAGTGGAGGCGACACGTTTTACTCAAGCAGTCCTTGGAGTGGTCGCAGAAGTGCTCGAATCTCAAGTACATCTCACTCTCCGGGGGGAGCGAGGATGAATTTTAGCAGTTCAAAACACAAGGAGAAACTTTACAGAGGAGAAAAAGAGTTAGAAAGTCTTTTAACTTAGATTTAATTTTTGTTACCTGTATACAGACGTGGGCGCGGGGACTCTGAATCGCTCATATAGATTTTTAAAGTGGGCCTAATTGATGGTTAAATCTTTATTTGCAGGGTCATATCTGTTTGTTGGTTCAAAGCAGACACTGTGGTTAATTTTTAAACTCAATTAAAAAAGACAGTTTTAATAAGTAAATACAATTTATTTAAAATGTGCAAGATACACATAGATACAGCAAAATATCTTTCGACTGAATTTATCAGCAGTGAAATTAGTGATAAGGTTTGGGGCATGTTATATAAATTTATAGAAGAGACTTTAACGGCACAAATCAATCTGCTTCTGATTGTGCTTTAAAGGTGGGGTAGGCTGGATCTGAGGAAGTTCCAGTTTTTGGGAGAAATCTTGAATGTAAACTATACCCCTCGCAACCAGTTTTCCCCTCAGCTCCTCCTCTCAAACCCCCCCCTCAAACAGACGCTCCTGCTCGCTCGCATCGTTCCAAATAAATTCAGATATAATGCAGATAAATACTTCAGATCATTACAAATGGGGCCCAGTCAAGGTGAAAGTCAAAAGCATTGGTGCTACTGTAGATGCCAACAGACTACCAGCAAACACAATGTTTGCAGGACTTCTACAACGAGGATAAAGTGACATAGTCCAGGACCCGAGGGAGGACAGTTCAGCGATGGCGCTACAACACGCTACAGCAGGTCCGTTTGACAAGAAACACTTCTGTTACAGACACTTGTCTTACTTTGTTAAAGCGGTTTACCTGTCCAGCAGAAAGGTTACAGGGTCACCAAGATCCCCAAGCGTCCCCCATCATTGTTGACCCGGCTTTTTAGCTCTTGTCCGGTCTACCTTTTTAAGCGCCCGTTATTCCTCCAGAGTCTCCGGTATTTACTTTGTTTTCTTGCTTGTGTCGGCAGTCGTGGTCAAAGGAGGATTCAGACAATTTTCCGAACTTTCTGGTTGGTTTCTACTGTCCGATATTGTAGCACGCTAACTTTGTTTGGGCTCCTGTACGTTATTCAAGCTTTTATGCTTTTATGAGTCAAGGTTGTCGTGGGATCACTTTGTCACTTAAAAGCTTATTTACTGAGTTTAAAGAGGGAAAATTAACACCACTTTGATTTCTGCATGGTTCAGTTAAAGATCATATTTAGCCT